ACCTGCAGGTCATCAACCCTTGGCACTGCGCAGGGACCAACCCGTCACTAAAGTGATGCCTGCTGTGCCCGTGATTTCTCTGCAGCGCTCTGCAACCCGGGCCCAGCCTGTGCCACTCCAGAGGACAGGTCACAGGGAGCAGTGTCTCTCTCCCCAGCCAGCCCGTGCGCCCCTGGCCGGGCCCCTGGCCGATCGCATCTGTGGCCTCAGTGGGCACTGGAGGGCTGAGGCTCAGATCTGGGCTTCTCTGTGCACAGTTAGCGTCCCTCATGCCATCGTGTCGGAGTGCTGTCATATTTGTCTGTGGTCAAGTAAAATGTAAAAGTGGAACTTTGGGGTCAAAGGTTCAGATTTTTAGAATTATAGTGAGGCAGCTTAGGTGATAAATGGTGTCTTCTCATCCCAACCATGTCCTCCATCCAAGGGGGCCTTACTTGAAAACCCAGGTCGGTAAAGCGGTAAAGCTCTGCTGACTGGATTCCAGGCCAGGAGGGTCCTTGGGGGAGGGGCTGGCCGTGTCCCCTGTGCGGGAGGGGGTGGGGCGGGGGGGGGGGGAGGATGGAACTCTGGGCTTCCCGGCCATTCCCAGCCGCACTGTGGGCGTGCCTGAGAAAGCCAGGGAGCCTGGATCTCATCAGAGGAGCCCTGGCTGGTCAGTGCCTCCATCAGAACAAAGAGGGGGCCAGAGTTTTCTTGGGTGGGGGGCACAGCACTGCACGTTGTAGCAGCAAAACCCCGGCCACCTTCCAGCAGCAGTGAGCTTCCTTTCGGTTTGGGGCACCTTCATTTTCTTCCTTCCTCTCTCCCTTCACCCCCTCCCTCCTTCTGTCATCCCTACCTCCTTTCCCTTCCAGATCCCCCTCCTCAGCCCCCACCCCCCGCTTCCTTCCTTCCTTCCAAAAATGTTGCTATTTATTTGAAAACTGTCAGACAACCAGACGTAATTGGGATGACAGAAAGCAGAGGTCCCCACACTTGAGCCGGGGCATGGGGAAGCCCAGATGGCTGCCTCCCCCCAGGTTCTGACTCAGGGCCCGGGTGGGGCCTCAGGTGCTGCATCTCAAATAGGTCCCCGTGAGGCCCCTGCCCTGGGAAGGACACTGTGACAGCCATTGGTTTAAAGAGCCCACGTCCCACCTCCAGCCCCAACCACCGTCCGCGTACAGCCATGGGGACCCCAGCGTCCCCACCCAGGTTATGTGAAGGCAAATCTGAGCAAAACCCTAGCATTTCATCCTCAAATATTTGAATGTGTATCAACAAGGATGGTATTGGACAGAGGAGGGAGGGTCCAGGGCCCAGACCTCAGGCTGAGGGGATGAGCTGTGGGCTTGTGGCCACCGCCTGCAAGCAGGGGAGAGAGCGGCCTAGGCCCCCGGGGCCGTGCAGCAGGCCCCTGGTCAGGAGCTGCTGGGGACCAGAGCCTGGAGAGCCAGCAGAGGTCGAGAGCGAGCTTGGGCAAAGTCGTCAATGGAGCGGCCAGCACATGCCCACTGACGGGTGGCTGGGGGGGTGTCACGGTCCTGTGTCTAAACTGTTTTTTTGCACCCCGAGCAGTTGATACTTTGTCTCCTAAATTCCATAGATCTGTCTGCTTTCCCCCATTCATGCCATCTCCCTTGAGGTTGGGGACTGGGGTGGGTAACACGGAGGCCATACCCCAACTCCAAAACCCCCGGGCTTGGAGGTGGGAGGTGTGTCCAGGTTTTGGTGAGCATCCTGTGCATGTGTCTCAGGGTGATGGCCGGGTGGGGTTCTTCTCCAGGGTTGTCTGGCCTCTGGGACCACGTGGGTCTCTTTGGGACCGTGGGCCCCTGACCTCCCGCAGTGGCCTCACAGCTGTGCCTCATCCTTGGCCTGTGGTTCAGCCAGCCCCACCCGCTCATGTTCACAGCCTCGCCCATCCTCCCAAAAGCAAAAAGCAGTCTCTTCTCACTTGCTGGGGGCTTCCTGCTGCCCTCCCCGCTCCTGTTCCTGCACCAGCTTTTAGCCAGAGAGATCTTTCTAAGTCAAAAGTCAGGCCCTGCTGTGTTCCTGCTTAAAAGCCTTCAGTGGTTCTACATTCCTTCAAGATAAGGTTCCAGATACAGGAACTGAAGGCTGGGCCTGGACCCCAGCCCTGGGGACTTCCCGCCAGGCCACATGCCCTCATCCCACACTCCCTGGCCCCGGCTCTCTCCTCTTTGCTCCTCAGGGTCTGGCTTAGGGCTCCATCCCCTAGGAATCCCGCCTGACACTAGCATTGGGTTAAGTTCCCTCCACCCCTCCACCCCCACCGTAGCACTAGTCTCTTGTTCATGGTCACCAATTGCTTCGTCTGCATCCCAAGACTTTCAAACCGCACTTTGAAAGTCCTTCCCGGGCCGTGGGCAGTGCGGTGAGTTCCTGTGGCCGGGCTGGTGACCTGGGCTGGTGACGGCTGGTGAGTGGTGGCCCCCTGCAAGCTAAGTACAGAAAGTGAAAGTAGCATTTGGAAACTCTCAAACCCTCTGACATGGCTGTGACCTCAGCGTGCAAGTGTGTATTTTACACAAGTCGACGGTGATGGATTTGCCCCGCACCGAGGAAGCGCTGGCCTGAGGCCCACTGGCCCCTGAACCGACAGCAATTGGAGGGTGGGGCCGGGCTCAGGCGACTGGAGGGGATGAATTTGGGTTTGCATGTCACCATGGCGGACCGTTGCCATCTTATGTTTTTGCTCGTGCAGAGACTCGCCCATATCAGATATATTCTCACGTGAGTGACCGTTATCCCCTGTGCTCCGCGCCGGGCTGTTTCCCGTGCTGGGCAGGGTCAGCGTCTTAGGATGAAGCGCGTGGCGAGGACTCCCGCGCTTTTCTTGGAAGCATCTCCGCCGGCGTCGGGGCTATTCTGCTGATAACAGCCTCGCGCTGGCGAAGTTGCCTGCGCACAGGTTTTGTGCTGCAGCGCCGACCCCCAGGTGCCTCGGGTCCTCGGCCAGAGCCCCACAAGCATGGTCCTTACCTCCTGCATCCTGAGCGCTTTGCTGTCCGCGTGTGAGTCACGTGGGTGCTTCATGGGGCGGCCATGCCAGGATTTGAAATTGCGTGGAACTGCACATGTGTCTCCTGTCTAAATTATCATCTGTGGACCAAGTTGATCTGTCTTTGAGGTTGGCTGGCTGTGTCCTTATAAGGAATTTATTCTATAACTTGGTTTTGTTCGTGTGGCTCCTTTATCAACCAAGCTCATGTCCTTCAATCGGGGGTTGTCCTCAGGGACGGGACAGACATGTCGGGCTGGACATGAGGACCAGAGGGGACGGCAAACCGAGCAGAAGCCCTCCCCTGGGTAGCTGGGGTCTGTTGGGACATCACCGCACTCCTGTCTCCCTCTGCCCCCTCTCACAGCCCCTTCCTCTTACATGCCACTCCCCTTCTTCCTCCATGCCCTCCCTTCTCTTTCCCCAGCCCCCCTCCCAGTCCCACCCCGCCCAGCTGGTGGGCCGTGGCCACCTGGTCTGGCCAGTGTAGACACTGAGCCCACAGGCTGCTGGGCGGTGGCTGCCCTCCGTGTGAGCGTCCTCCTCTCGCTGGCCGGTCCATGGGTGTGGAGAAAGCACTGCAGCCAATGTCAGTCTAATGAACCTTCCCTCCCCCTCCCCTCTGGCGCTGCCCCTCACACTGTTCAGAAAATTGAAAATGGCAGTGAGGAAACAAGTGCTGACACAGCTGCGATTTTGACACCTTGATTTGAAGGAACCACATGAACAAGCCAGTCACTGCTGACAGCTCAGCTATGGTCAGTTTTCCTCTTAGATGAGAATTTAGAAAAAAGATGAACTTAATTCAGTACAAGCCTGGGATGGGGTGATGGATGACCCTGACACCAGGACCCGCCGTCCGGACATGAGCCTGCCATGCGGGAGCCCACCGTTGGGGAGACCCTGTGTGACTCAACACTCAGCCACCTCACTGCTCGCTGGCCCGCCCACCACCCCGGAAGCCTGGTGCCATCCCCAATGGCCCCGTTTTAAGGTTCTTCGGGGAACAGTGGGACGGCTGAAAAATGCATCTATAGGTCTGGTAGAAGAATTGCGAGGGTAGCCCCGAAAACTGAGTGGATGGAAGGTGGAATGTGTTTGACGCCAGGGGACCTGGACCCGGACACGTTGTGCCACTCGCCTCCTGAGTAGTGGGTGAGCTCGAGGTTGCGCAGCACGAAGCAGCGTTCAGGTGCCAGGTTCGCCGGCCCTGGTTGGCCCGGGTCAGGCGTTTCAAGTACTCGCAAGCAGAGTACGGAAAAAACAGCCACAGGCTGAAAGATAGGCTCTTCTTTAATGTAACACTTCTAACAGCTCTGGTCTTGGTCTTGGAAAAGATGGCTCCCAGCACTGCAGGTGTTGAAGGGGAAGCTGAGGGCAGCAGGGTTGTAGAGAGGTGACCAAACAAGAGTTCTGGAAATCTGGGTCACAGTCCCAGCCCCCCGCCCTCGGACATGTCTGGCAGCCTCTCCCAGCCTCCACTTCCTGCTCTGTAAAGGGAGGGATTGAACCAGTGACCCGTGGTCCCATCCTGCCCAAATGTTTCGCTTCGTGCATTAATCTGTTGTATCTTCAAAGGAAGGCAGGCTGCCCGGTCCTGCCACTTACGGGCTGGGTGACCTTGGGCAAGTTACTCACCTTCTCTGTGCCTTAGTCCCCTCATCTATAACCTGGGGATGTTAACTGTATCTACCTAATAGTGCTATTCGGTAACAGTAACTGCTTAATAGAGCTATGCGAGGAGCACATGGCTAATGTAACTAAGGCCCTTAGAATAGAGCCCGTGGCATTTGGTAAGGGCTCCATAAATGGCAGCAGTCGTCATTACTCGTAACTGCCACTACCACTGACCCTGTTAACTCTTACGAGTCTGCGATGCATTCCTGTATATTCGTTAACCTCTGAACAAGGTTTTCTTTCAGTAGCATCCTTGTTACCCAGGTACTTGGAAGGGGCCACCGGTGTATGTTCTAACACAATTTCCGGTGTGTTTCAGGCGGAGGCCCGGCTGGCAGCGAAGCGTGCGGCCCGCGCGGAGGCCCGAGAGATCAGGATGAAGGAGCTGGAGCGGCAGCAGAAGGAGGTAATGCCGACCTCTCCCGCGGTTCTTTTCACGGGCGGTTTAATGTTAGGTAGAGTGTGCGAGTGCGGAGGCACCTGTCCATCTGACACGGCTCATGATCAGCACGCACTTGTGCCTGTGACTCCTGTTCAAGGTCAGGCCAGGGAGGGTGCATAGCACAGATGCCAAGCGTGCCTGTCCCTGCCGCCCGGCCTGCGGGATCCGGACAGCGCCACTTGCCTGCATAGGTCCGCCCAGCCCGGCTTTCTGGCTCTGCACTTCAAGCTCTTACTTCTGAGAGAATCCCGATCCCCTGAATTAAAAAGATGAAAGAAGAACAGACGATTATGTTTTTATACTAACTAAACTGTTTTGTTTAAAAATGTTTTTGCACTTTTTTACACTTTTTTTAAAATTAAATCTTTATTGTTGAAAGTATTAGATAAGTCCCCTTTCCCCCTCATTGACCCCTTATAGCCCTTCCCCACTGCCCACCCCAGGCCTTCACCACCCTACTGTCTGTGCCCAGGGGTTATGCTTATATGTGTACAAACTCTTCCCACCACCTACCCTTCCCTGTTTTACACTTTTTAATAGGTTTCATGAAGCCTGAATCCCGAGTGTAGTACAGAGCACAGAATAAACGCCATGGATGCAATAGCCAGGGAAGAAATTGCCCCCCCTTACCCCCACCCCCGGGAGAGCAGATAATGATGTGTTTACACACCTGTGAAAGGTGTTTGCTATTATTTTCATATCTTGAGCTGGAGCCAGAAGTCATGTGGACAGCTGAGGGCTCTCTACCTGGCAGTTAGAGTTCTGAGCTTTTCCAGGGCTTTTCCATGACCTTGAGGTCATGGGGGAATGAGGGCATCCCTCGCTAGGGGACCCTGTGCTCCTGTGAGCCACGCCCTTGGAGACCATCCGCCCCAGGCCCCACCGAAGGCTCAGCTTGTTGAGAAAATTTGATGTGGTGTGTTGGAAAGAGCCGGCCAGCTGCCTTCCCCGGGGCTGGTTTGCGTACACAGTCTTGTTTGGTTCCCGCAGGCAAATTGTAAAAGTCCAGCCGATGTTTTAAAACTTGTGAGATTTCAGGAAGAAAAAATAAAATCTAGGTTTCCAGTTTCTCTTAAAACCATTGCAGATTCCGCACTTTCCTGTAGGGTGAGGCTCCTGGGTGACTCGGGGTCACACTCTGCCTGAGGGGACTGTCACTCCCTGTGGAGGTGTGTCCCTGGGGGAGGGGCACGGCCAGAGGTGAGTATGGGGAGGAAAACCTTCCTTGTGGCTTGAGGCATAGGTAGAAGGTCATTAGAAACTCAAGGGCAGAGGTCCGGGTCCCTGAGAGGCCGTGCCCCGCGCAGCGTGCTGGGCAGGGACTGTAGTGTAGTGGTGCTCGTGCTGTGTTTCTGTGTGAATATGGGCTAAACGTGTTTGAAAGCAGGTTACCACGTTCCCGCCTTGTTGGAAATGCAAATACAGTTGGAAGCAAGTTCTGGTGTCCATGATACTTGACTCTGAATTAACTGAGTGCTTTCATTGTTTGTATTTTTTTCTCTTAATTCACTGGAAGAAGCGTGGGTTTAGCATTTTCTCAGTGCCCTGCCCCCTAGAATTGCATTGATCATTTTTAAGTTGGAAATAATGATTCGGACTTTGAAACTTCCTGAGGCCCGATGATTCTCTGGAAGCACCTTCCTGTCCGTTATCTTGGTTGAGGGCAAGGACTGGAACCTGATCAGTACCCGCCCACGAACTCGGGGTGGGGGAGGAGGGGAGCCTGACCTGGAGTGACTCTTGAGGTTCATGCAAAGAAGCATTTTCAAATCCGAAGTCAGCTGTTTGGGCTGGGACGTGGAGGAAGGAGCAGGTCTTGTTGAGCAGGCCGTCGTCACATACCTGAGAGGGTGTCGCCTGAGTTTAGGAGCCACCCTGACACCAGCAGCCTCTGCCCACATGGACGGACTCTGATATACATCACAGTCATTGGACGCCGCCCAATGGAATAGTTCTTTTAGCCTGAACTAAAAGAGCTGGGTATTTGAAAGGACAAGTTGCTTTTTCAAGCCGCCTGGTGTCGATGCCCCTTGGAATACTTCTGTTCATTCAGTAGACACTTGCAAGCCCTGGGAGCCCCTCCCCTCTGCTCTGGAAATCAGAATGGCAGCAGGGGGTCAGGGCGCTCCCTGGGTGGGCAGTGGTCGTCTGGGCAGAGGGCCTCAGAGCTCAGGGTGCCCACACGGTGGGCAGAAGCCCATTCTCAGGATGCATCACCATTTGTGGAGGCAGGTGCCAGCACCAGGAACCTCCCACCCTCTCGGTGGCTAATGGTTTTGATCGGCTTTTCCAGTTCTCCAATAGTGCCCAGTCCTTTTTATATTAAGGTCTTAAAAGAGCTCTAAGAAGAATTTGCCCCAAGTTTTTGTTGCTGTGCCAGGTTTTGCCACGGTGATTGAGTTTCTACACGGGATCTCCCCTCCTCCCTGAACTATCCCCTGAGCTCTGTTATTGGGGCTGAACCAACAGCTCAGGAGAGAGGGGACAGTGAGTCTTAGGGGCCCGACCTTCGGTGTTCGTGGTGGTGTTAGTCATCGTTTTTATAGCTTTTCTCACACTTAAGAGAAAGTGACTTTCACCAAGTATACAGTGTAACATTTGTACAAAATCAAGGTGAAAATGAATTACAATGTATGTCAAGCATGTCAAACTCCTGGCCAGCGGGCTGCATGCCTTGACCCACCCACTGAGAGTTTGACATGCTTGTGTGCGTACATATCTGTCTTCCAAATTATACATTTAGATGAAATCTATCCTCTCCTTAATTACAGACAGAATTAATTTAAATGTGCACTTGATAACCTAAGCAGGTTCTTGCAAAGCTCTTTGCAAAGTTCTTGATTTAGAGAATAAAAATGAAGTGGAATTAAGCCAAGAAATGGTGTGTTTGAATGGTGTCCTTTACACACCCAGCCATGTTTCTCTGTTTGAGTCAAAGGAAGTTGTCTTCTATTTCATTTTAATTCTACAACCCAAGGTAACCCTGCCTGTTAAGTGACAGCCCTTTAATTTTGGTAGTGCGAAAGGGGCCTCGGTGGCTCTCACACAGGGCCGGGCACCCCGAGGCCAGCGGGGGCCGGCACCTGAGCGTTTACAGGCCTCAGGTCCCATGAAGCCTGGCCTGCCCTCGGGTGTTTAGTACTTGCTAAGGATCTTGGGCTTTGCAGAGAAAATCTGATTAAAACCTGGGAAACCCGGTTAAAAACGCCACCGTTGCCTCCCTCGGTCATACACACACACACACACACACACACGTCTCATTTCATCTGTAGACGGCATTGAGATATTGAAATTCCTCATCGTGACGGTGGGTTTCACTCCCATTGGAAAGACTTCAGTGGTTCACAGGGGCCGGAGGTTTTTGTCGATTCAAGCTCATGGGCCATCTCACACGAAGGCAGTCTGGTAATTTGAGTCCTCTGGGCACTCCGCTCCCCAGCAGAGATGCCCGAGACATGAGACAGGGTTTCCGCGCGTGGGATTGAGCTGTGGGAGGAGAGGGAAGGGGGTGTGGCCTCCCTGTGAGTAAACACCTTGGGTCACGTCACTGTTTATCTGTCCCGTGTGCATCGTGTGTCTGTCCGTGCTCTCACTCCTCACGGACAGGCAGGAACACTGTGAAGACGCCTCCTCTGCTGAACTTGAACTCCCACTGGGGTCAGGTTGCAGGCCTGGAGACCGGCCCCCACGCTGTGAGTGGTCGGGTTGTGCAGTGACAACCAGTGTGTGTTCAGGGGGAAGCAGAGACAGGGACTCGGGTCAGCACAGCCCGTGGGGACCTTGCATGAAGGCAGCCGAGAGCAGGAAAGCCCAGTGGCACCTGGCAGGTGAGCGCAGAGCCGGGCAGGGGTGCAGGGTGGGGTGGAGGCCCGGCTTCATCCGGGGGTTCATGGCCATCACATGAGCCCAGCAGTGCTGACTTACGCAGGCGACAACTTTGCTCTCACGCATGCAGGGCCTTTGAAGTAGGAGAGCACCACACTGAAAGTGTACATTTGACTGCTAGTCCCCGAGAACTGGGTAGGGCAGAGGGGAATGGCAGGGCCATCCTGGAGCCCGGGGGCGCCGTGTGGCAGCGCTGGGCTGGGGACTGTCGCTCACAGGCTGTGAGGGGGAGTCCGAGTCTTATTGGCAGGTGAGGAAATCAGGCCTTGGAGAGGCAGATGGTTTAACCCGCAGCCAAGAAAATGGCCAAGATTTCAATCTAGATCTGAAAAAACTGCAAAGCTTGCAGTCTTCCCAGTACACCCTCTGCCTCAGAATCGGTGCATGCTCAGCAGTGAAAGCAAACAGAAACCGAGGGCAGAGTCGGCACGTTAACCGCGGGGTGAAACTGGCGGTGAGCGTGCCGGCACTCGAAGCAAAGGGGGCCGGGGGCGAGCCGCACAGTCCTCGTCGCTTCACAGGGGGAAGCACACCTTGCCAGACAAGTTCTTCTCTTGGTGCTGAACTGAAGGCACAGTATCATCCACACAAAATAGGCCATTATATTAACCAGTCTCACAGAGAACATGGAAGCAGTAGCTGCTCTCCTGCTATTTCGTGATCTGACCACGTCCGGGAGTGAGGGGCGTGGGGGTGTGCCTGTGTGCGCCCTCCATAACGGGCCTCGTCACCAGTTCAGATGGGGAGGACTGACTTCCTTAGCTTCGCTCTGGGGGCTGTTTAAGCGTTGTGAGGATTTGCTAAGGAAGAAGATATGTAGATACTCTTTGGGAAATCCAAGTGAACCTCTTATTTCCCGTGAGAACCTACACTCATAGGAAAACAATGGTGATGTGATGACCAGGGTGCATCTGACTTGATAAACAGTTAGTTGGGGATACTATGTTTGAAATAGTCCTAACGGTGAGTGCACACACCTGTGCTCGCCCTTGTAAGACTAGAAATGCCAAGTTTCCAGTCCTGCCGTTCGGCAGTGCCTTGAACAATGCCTGACTCAGTCCGTGTTTTGTGGGCTGAGTGAGTGAGTGAAGCAGGTATCTCTTACCTAGTGATTCCTACAAGATTAGGAGAAACCTCTGAAGTAAACTGCTATGTCAACGTATGATAATAGGCTTTTCAAAGATACATTTCAGTTATATTCTAGGGCCACCCTGCTTTGCTGGAGGTTTCCTGGTGTTCTGTCTGTATCCACCGGAGAGAGAACGGGAGGGCACCGCTCTTTGCAGTTTGTGGGTTTGACCCATTCGCTTTCTGATCAGGTTTCTGTACTTTTCTGTTACACTTCTATTGCTGTGAGGAGAAATTTTCAATTGAGGACGAAGTCCTTTGTCCCATTCATGGTAACAGGTTACAGACTTCTGCCTTAGAGTAATACCAGGATTCTCATGGAGACTCCGGTGAGCGCGCCGTGTTCTACTGATAGATCTGTAACGAATGTCAGATAAGTTATGAAATGACCAGTTCTTTCAATGAGACTTCAAACGTTGTTTAATTCATACTTTACCAATTAGTCACAGTCTCCCCCCTCCCCCAATGTACCTCTACTCATATATATGGGTACTTGCAAAGCCTTTCTGTCTGGTGTATCTACTTTCTAAATTGGATTTTATATTTCTCTTCCTGTTTTTCTTGCCTTCTCTGTAGATCTATCAGGTCCAGAAGGTAGGCTCTCTGTTCCTGGTTTTCTGTTTGCATGCACTGGTTTTCTCCTGCCAAGGGCCTGGCCGCTTTTCAGAAATAACGCCTTTCGCTGAAAATACATAGAAGCCCTCACTGCTTCCCTCGCTGCTTTGTGTGTGAAGCGACTTGAGCGGGATGCGTAAGTCCCCACCTCTGTCTGCGAAGAGCAACTCTCCTCGGACGCATGTGTGTGTGCTGAATGCTTTCCTCATCTTCGTTTTTCTCAAGAAATCAGAAAACTGTTTCTTTGAGGGGGAAAAAAATGAATTCTAGGACAAAATTAAATCACATTTCAGAATTTGGGAAATCCTTTGAAATCAGGTATTTAAAGGGAAAGATTATCCTTCCATATAATTTTATTAGAAAATGTTAAAAACATCAGTACACATTACCACATGTTAAGAGATTATTACCTTACTATTAAAAATCCTGAGTAGAAAAGAAAATGATGACCTAACAAAACAATTCTGTAGCTTCCTGTCAGCCTGCCTCTGTCCTAACATTGAGAGGGCTAATGTGTGGCTGTTTCCCAGTGTTTTGTAGAAGCAGCTGAGGTTCAGAACTACATGCACTGAGCAGGCCAGACACGGAAATTAAAGAGAAAAACACCCGGTGCATGACCCCTGATTCAGCAGGAATGAAGGGAGGAGTGAGAGGTTCCCTGGGAGTTTATAGAACGTGTACACAGTCTCCCCATAAATGGGTTTCGTTTGTTACATATGACACCTATAGTTTTATACACTTACTTACTAGGTAAAGAACAACTATGTTTTTCTTTTAGAGCAGCTAATAATTACACTTAACTTCAAAGGTTAGGACGTGGGGGCCCTTTCGACACACTATTTAAAGTGCTGCCCTTGAGTTCCTTCGCTACCTACAGCCCTGAAATGCCTTCCCGTCCTGCCCCATCCCCGTCTGCATCAGTACCACCCGGAAGAGGGTAACGGAATCAGTTAAGTAGGCACCAGCATCTCTGTGTACTTTGTTAGATTTTGTGGGGTCTGAGAATTAAAATGTGACCTGAAGCTAGAGCCAGTCACACGTACAGTCTCGGAGCAAAGGCGGCAGGTAAAAGGAGGGCGGGAACCCAGGCTGTACCCCACAGAGCAGGCATGACTGTCCTCATACCGACACAAGAGACGGTCGGCTGCCACTTGGATTCACTCATTCGCTACTCGCCCGAGATTGCTATTGTTTTCTTCTCACTCACCCACCGGTGAGAACTTGGCCAGAATGGAAATTTGTATGCGGGAGTGAAACCGGTCCTCCTCGCAGAAGCAGAGACACATTTGTATAATAAAGATGGGTCCAAGGTCACTGCAAGGACGAGGACAGGGAGGCAGGGAGTGTGCTCTCCAGCCTGTTCGGCTGCTTGGAGTGACGGCTTCTCTTCTATGGAATCAAAGCTATTTCTGAAAGCCAAGCACCTTTTGCGTTCCTCTGGCCCTCCCTTCCCCTGCATGACTCACCGGCTAACCCTACTAGTTCACCTCTGAAGTTCGGGGTGCTTCCTGGAGTCCGCTGTGCTGGCCTGCGAGCTAGCGCCAGGGCAACTAGCAACTGCACTCGCTGTTGGTTTCTGGGGTCTCCCTCCTTCCGCGGGAGGACGCGGAGACACAGCGAGAGTTACAGCCGCTGTTTATAAGGCCACCCATGAACTAGATGGAAAGCTTTGGATACTGGTTCTCGTTTTTATCGTGAAAAGAGCAATAGTGTGCAGGACTTGATAGAGTATTGGCAAAAAGAGCAATAGGAAAACATCTTAGAGACTACCTTTGGGATTTAAATCATATTTTGTGAACTTATATAGGCCCTTCTCCTTTTTAAAAACCCGTTTTCTATCTTTATAATTAAGCCATAAGATAAAGGAGGTCGATGGCATTACATTATACTTACCTGGAATCCAAGAGTGAGCGTTGGGCTGATATTAATTGAATGCACAACAGCTTCAAGCTGTTGGATTTTACTTAATTTGATGTTAAAACATGGCTGGGAAGTGTGTAATTGTCTTTCCTGTCGCGATTTATAGTCTAAGGCACATCACTCATAGAAAAAGCTTTGGCTCATGTACTTTTGATACTGCAGTTCTGTACTGGTTGAGTTTTTAAGGCATTGCTAAATTCTCACACACACACACACACCCGATTTTTCCTCTTCCAGTTCTCCACTTACACCACCTCTAAGCGGAAGGGGCAAGGCCGTTGGGGACCTTAAACCTGGCCGCCCTTCGAAAGAAACGGAGACTGAACCCGCTGTAGCAGCATCAGGGGGCGGTCCCTGTAAAATAACCCCAACAATTCGTTTTACTCCTCACACCTATTGTTTACCCTTCTGGTGAGAAGGTTTTACTGTGTAAAGAGGAAAATCACATCTACGTTACAGAGGTGTGGTTGGTTGTTCCTTGATTTTCTCTTTGGAAATTCAGGGCAAAGAGAAGAGTAAAACCCCGTTCTTTGAACTGTACCTGGGGTCCCCCTGCCTTTGGAATTGTATTTAATAACAGGGACAGCCGGTCTGAATCTGCTTTTCTAACTTGGACCGACCGCCATAGTTTAGACAAGCCAGGTGGAAACATGGAGGCATTCGCTACAGAAAATCAGAACATAACTTGCAAACATTATTTGTTCCCTGTACAAAGGCCTCCCCCTCCGTAGCTGTAAAGACGCCCAAAGTTTGTAAGTTCAGCAGGGGTATCAGAGAGCAGGAACAAGTGCGCCAGAAATCGGGGGTCAATCACAGTTGCCCCCTTTCTGCTACATTTCTGAGACGGAGAGCCCTCGGAACCAGTATGGGGGCTCCATGTGCTGTGGCTCGGTGTCCATCCTGGTCTCTAGGCCCCCTGGGCCCCAGGAATGCATCATCCTGGCTCCCTGGGCTTGCAGGTGGGAGCGGGTGGGCGGGGTGTGTCCCGGCTCCGCTGCCTCACTGCTTTGACTTGGCGTGTTCCCCGCACCGTGTGGCCTGGGCAGCAGCTTGGGAATGCATGTCACACAGCTCCCTTTGCATTTACCATTTCCCTTCTCGCCTAATTGTCTTTCCTTTCTGTCCGTAGAAATATTATGGGCTGTACACGAAATGGGGTGACATCGAGCAGTGGATGGTAGGCCTTGGATACGATTTTAAGAAACTTGCATGGTTTATAATTTGATTGTTACACAGTTTAATTGCATAAATAGATTCCTGTTGCATCATAATTTAATCCCCAGAGGTTTCCTGCCATTCCTCTTGCGTCTGGCCTGGTTGTTTACCTCCCAGCGGAGGCCTGGGTAGGAGGGCCCTGACCAGGCCTTTGGTCTGGTCTGTGCAGCTGACTCCTGGAGTGTCCAGGCCAGTGTTTGTGGAGGTCGACGCCCCCTTGGCCTCCTGGGGCAGAGTGCTGTCCACTAGGGACACTCGGGCCAGGCGTCTGTCCCAGGCGTGAGGACTCACCCATTTCCATCCTGCCTCCCGGGCTCTGGTTGGAACCCAGAGGCCACAATGATGCTCCATTTCCTTCTCTCACTATTGTGTTCGGCTGGCTGGTTACCCTCATTCCAACCTTTACCTGCCCTCAATGTTTGCCCTGCCCCCACCTCACCCGGTATTCCCACTGAAACCCCTGTTCTCTGGCAAAAACATTCCTGTACCTTCTCACCATTTCCTAGAACAGCTTCTCCATCTTCCTATGTCAGTTGAGAGCTAGCTCACCCCTACCCTGTCCTTAGGACCCTCCCAGGAGGGTGTGGGTGGCCCACCGCCCACTGGGTGCTGCCCATGGTCCCGAGAGGACATGGCTTCTCCCGTCATTCATCCATGCACCTGAGTGTGCCCCCTCCTCCTGTCCTTGTCACCAGCCTCCTGGTCATTGTCACATACCTTTAGCACTTGAGAATCTGGCCAGTGTGGAAATGTCCTGCTAAATATCCCTGATACATAAAATAATCTAAGGAAACGTAAAATTTCTTCCTAACATCGCAGGTGCCTGCATAAAATACGAAAGGCAGTTCTGGAAATACAAGGAGCACACACTTCCACTGTTTAAAAAATGGTGAACTACAACCTTCACAATGTGTGAGCCATCGTTTTAGGCTTGTGTGGCACAGGCAGATGTCCTTGTAGCCAATCTCAGGACACCGTTGAAAGGGGTCGTTGGTTTCTGTGCCACCGAGGAAGAGAAAGGCTGCTAGTTACCGTTGTGAGCAGCTCTGTGCCGGCTTCCCGGTGTGGAAACTGCATCTGGGAACGCACACAGTACACCAGAGAGCGTGCGTCCTTATGGCTCTTTCACGGACATGGTTTCTCTTCTGACCCCCAAGGGGAGGAGAGCAAGGCTCTGAATGTAAGGAAAAAAAGTGGGTGGGTTGACATGGACCAGACTTTAGAGGTTAGAAAAAAATTAAGGCTCGGCTTCCCCTCCACCACACACTTGTTTTGAAAGCCAAGATGAAATATGCCAATTATTCACGTGCTTCAGTACCCCCCTTTGGAAGAAAGCATTTCTCGCCGGCAATTTAAGTGAAGCCTCCAAGCAAAGGCAAAGGAAATGTGTGCCATTTATATCAGGAGTACTGTGCGGAGGCACAGCTGGACTGTCAGAGCCTCCCTGTGTCCGTCTCTAACCTCACGCTCTCTCCTCCTTTGGTAGGAAGACAGTGAGCGCTGCTCGCGCAGATCCAGAAGGAACACCTCGGTTAGTACTGCATTCATTCACTACTTAGGCGTTAGGATGGAAATCTAATTTGTATTTTTAGTGATATATATATCACTAAAAATATATATATATATATATAAAATATATAATATATATATATTACCTCAATGATGTTTATTAAAGAAGTTAATACTGATATTATTATGTAAACAAAGACAATGAACTCAGCTTTTAGCATTTTGACCTAACTTTGGGGAGGGGAGAGTGTTGGAGAAATTTCTGAGTATTACTATATTCATAACAGTTTTAATGCTTCTTTTGCTATTGAATACCCACGAACACTTCACAAAATAATGTGCATCGAGGCTACGTCGTTGTAGACTCCGGTGAAGTAAATAACAGCACTCTAATAAAATCAATCGAAAGCCGCATTATCTGGAAACAGCCTGCTATAAACAGAGGCGAATACCCACGAACACTTCACAAAATAATGTGCATCGAGGCTACGTCGTTGTAGACTCCGGTGAAGTAAATAACAGCACTCTAATAAAATCAATCGAAAGCCGCATTACCTGGAAACAGCCTGCTATAAACAGAGGCGCACAAAGCCCGAGCTGGCTTGGACCTCGGCTCAGGGCGAGAGCTTTTCGGAGGCTGCCAGTCGGCCCCACTGCTGTGGTGTCCGGCCAGCCGCCTCCGGTCGAGAGCTGGCGTGGGCTGCTTTGTGTTGCATTGTCACTTCATGCCTATTTCATCCTTTCTCTTACTAGGCTTCTGATGAAGATGAGCGCGTGTCAGTGGGTAGTCGCGGAAGCCTGCGGGTCAGTAACCTGAATGCTTGCGTCTGCATGGTTCAGTTATGTCCAAGTCCTTCGCTTTTCACCCCTGCATTCACACGTCCTGCTCATTATCCCTTGTAGTCTTGTAGTCAATATCCAACTGACAAGATCTATGCAATGGCGGGTGTCTCCTGGTTGCTGTAGAAAGATTACACCAGCAGTGAGGGGCATAAGCATAGGCACCTGGGCTGTGTCTTTCTCCAAGAGTGGAGGTCACAGTGTTTTTGTATGTCTGTCCACATCACAAAACTGCCACATCCTGGTGAAGTTGGCTGGGCGTGGCTGGTGGGATAAAGGCGCGTGTGAAGGAGCAGGCTGCCAGTCATGTGCTATTTGCACACACGCTCCCCGGCCGCCTCTGAATCTCAGGTTCAGTAACTGTCGGTGTAAGTCATTCTTAGTGATGTTTCTGCGGCGGCCGCCGGTGGGAAGTGGGGCCGCCTGGACCCCGGGGGCCGCGTCTGCTCGCCTCCAGGAAACACTCCTTTCCTCAACTTGGTGAAATCTCTTCATCACGGTCGCATAGTGGCTGATAAACACAACAACATATTTTCCTTGAACTTTCCAAAAATATTCATAATTATATTTGAAAAAGTTGCGTGCTTTGGGAAGTGAAGTAGGGAAACTGTGTTTTTAAGGCATTGAATTAATTTGCCAGTTTAGTTTACCAAAGGGCTGAAACTGCCCCTCACTGCTGGTGGTCATTAGGGCTCCATGCAGCCAGTATGTGTGACTTAAGGACCGCTGAGAGCAGAAGGCTTGTTTTAAGTCACCATGGCAACCAAATCAATGTCACACCTAGACTTCTTGTAGGGCACTAAAAATGCCTTTGATTCTGCTGTTCTAACAGTAAATTGTTAGAACTGTTTCATTTCTTCGCAGGTGCCAGAGGCAGATTTTAGAGGAGGAGTTAAAATTGCTCTAACTGCTTCAGATTTTAGGAATTACAGCAACATCTGCCGTGGAAGTTCTCTTTAACGTTATGGGATTTGTGGTAGCTATCACTCTAACGTAATTCCTTTTGCAAATACATGAGCTCCTAGAAAGCATGATAAAAATATAATTTTGTTAAGATGCCCAGTATTGCCCGTTTTCTGTTTTTGTTACGTCTGTCTTGGTTTTTTAACTGGTTCTTGGCACCTCTCTTTTCTGCCATTTTCCTGGTCCATCCTTACTCTGGCAGTCGCAGCCTGACCTGGAGTCTGGGGGTCCCTACGGCTGGGTGAGATGTTGGGGTGACTTGCCGTGTGATCCTAATGGTGTCGTGTGACAGATAATAACCGGCGGTGTCCTCACTAACCTCATGGGTGTTTGAAAAGCCGAGTGCATCTTTGTCAGAAAAGACACACATGCCACCCACCAGACTCTACCTGGGGCCGCGGGCCAGAGGCGGGTGCAGACCAGAGTGCTTGGTCTTCTCCCTGGAGCCTCCTGGGCGCCCTCTGACCCACCTGGTCGGGCTCTGGGCCCAGACTGGCATGCACACACTGTTTGAGCACCAGCGGTTTGCCACACACTGTGCCAGCAGCTCTGAATCCCAAGGGAAAAGATGATGTCTTGCCTTCAAGGAACTCAAATCAGATCAAGAACTGTAGTTCCTTTAAAATATTAAATTTAAGGTCATTTTATCTCATAAAGTCCATTGTTTTCTAATCTGTATCCATTCAAATTAAACATAAAACCGGGCTCCTTTGCCAGAAAGACCCCAGTCCCAGCAACAAAAAGAAGGCTTTTAGTTCAAATTCAGAAGTATCCTCTTACGTCTCTCCAGGAGTTTCTGTGCTGTCTGCTTTCCGAAGCCCATAAGCGTGAACCACACGGAAGAAAATCCCATCTCACCAGAAAGTGCGCTGGGCATGAACGTGGCTCAGTACTACGGTCCTGAGAGCGGGTCGCACACCCTTCCCTTTGGGAACTTTTTTAGAAGCATTTGTGCTTTATTCATTCTATTGCATTTCCAAATTATTTAGCAAATATCTGTGTTTAAAAATAGGTATTTTTATTTTTCAGTTGATAATGCCATCCACCCACCTCGCACCCTGGATCCCTGGAGCCTCCTAGTGGGGCTGCTGTCTGCACGTAAGGGCAGGAGAACTCCGGGGGTGGGTTGTCAAGGAGATGCTCGGTCCAGCCCAGCCTCGAGGTCCAGCCACTGGGGCCTGCTGTGGACAGTGGGAGGTGAGAAGCACCTCATTAGACTGAAAAAGCGCTCTTCCCAGCGTCTCCTGGGCCACCTTCCACAGTGACACTGGCGTCGAGAGCTTTTCTGTGACACGACCATTCTCGCCACCTTTCTATTCTTTAAGTTATTAAATGTATTGGTGACACGTTTCTAGATTTTTAGCCTTTTTCCAACTGAAAATGAATTCCTTTTGGGGCCCGGCCCAGTGGTGCGGAAGCGTGTATGTGTTGGTGACAGTCAGGAACACCTCTGGCGCTCACTCTCATTTTCCTTTTCACTCCTTTTTACAATCAAGTTCCGGGCATCGGGAAGTGCACGCGGGAGTTTTGATTTTGCCTTTCTTTTTTTGTTCCCCATCTCTCATGCCCTTCCTTGAAGGCGAGCCATCTTTTGCCTCGATAGAATAATAATCTCACATTGTTCATCAGAAAAGCTGACAGTTGAGTCGCGTGGGCAAGTGTGACGTTCGCGGGTGGAAGTTCGCGGGTGCTTTTCGAGCACTGAGCGGTGGTTGTGCACTTCCTGACTAATCACAAGTCACGAGTTAGAGCAATGGGTTCTGGTGAAGCATTAATTTTTGTGTCTTCTCCTCTTTTAGAAAATGCTAACCTGTGCATGCCCAGTGCCCTCTCTGATAGCAGTGTGTCCCCATGTCTCTGCATGTAAGACTCACCCCGGGGAGCTCATCCAAATGCATGTTCCCGGGCCCCTGGGTTCTGATTTCCTGGGCCGGGGCCCACGGTCCTCAGAGGCAGCCCAGGTGACCGCAGTGCAGGTGGCCTGCACAGCCCAGAGTGCGGGAAACGATTCCGTAGAACAGGCTGGTTGCACATCAGAGGTCTGACTTAAGGAAGTTCTGTCTGTGGACTTCTTATTCTGATTTTCAGCTCTCTTGACCCTACCACAGCACATAAAGCAGCCCCACTCATCAACATACAACACACAAAACCATCTGGAGGAGCATAGCTGGTGTCTCTCAGAAGGTCCAAGTGCCTGTCACTATAGAGGTGTGGTTAAGAGCCCATAGATTTGGGAATCTGTCCTAGGACTATATCCCCCATGACAGAATTCTCTTCCACCAGAAAAGGGTGAATGTTCCCCAAAGCCCTCAAAGTAAGAGTTCCCTGAGTGGTCATGAAAGGCCAAAAGAAAAAGGGTGATGGGTGAGAGAGGACCACTGCCCGGCCCCCACCCACCCTTGCTCCGTGCTGCTGGCCTTAGAGAATGAGACCAAAAGGAAGACTTGCCTACAGCAGCCCGTGCTTCCTCAGCAGCGGCGGAGATGCCGTGTTTATATGTGAACCGTTTTTATTCCTCACTCATGATAGTACAGTAAAGGTTACCCAAAGTGGCTCCATGTTAGCCTTCATGGTTACATTTTTTCCAGAAACTAGCTTTTAAACAGATAGCAGGAGAATGCGCCTGAGGTCTGAAATATTCAAGTCTCTGACACGGGTTTCCGGATCACATACTCTTTGTTAGTTGAGAGAAGAAATGAGACTGAGTAAAATTCCTGCCCATCTCTAAATATTTTTTCTGTTAAACTTATTTCAGAAATTTTAATATTTCCCCCAGAGTTTTCAAATTGAATGCTGAGGGATTTCTACAAACTCTGATCTAGAAACTTCAAGTTGGTCTGTTGTTGGGGTTTTTTTTAGTCGTATCAGAAGTAAATACATAATTTGATAGTCAAGGTTTCGTGAATCTGGATTTATAATCTGTCCGGAAATTCGTTTACTTATTCTGCATTAATGTCGTGGCTGCAAAATATGGGCAAACGCCTCCCCTCCCATTTTAATCAGATCTGATCCTCACGGTGGCCTCGGAAAGTATACGTTACTCTGCACAACTCCGCAACCCAGGGAGAGGGCGTCCGGGATTCAATAACTTAAGGTCACATGACAGAGCTTCTGTTTGGAATTTGGACTTGTGTCCCTGACCCCTGGTATCTCCCGCCTTTCTTGCCTGCTCTGTGCCCTGGCCCTCCTTTCTCTGTCACAAGAGCTGGTATGTCTTTGTCACTTGACAGCTGTTAATCAGCAGACACGTCCTCGTAGATGAATGAGCGCAGCTTAGACAGCCCAGCGCGTTGGGTCAGGGGAACTTGAACTGGGAGCAGAGAAGAGAAGTGGCGGGCAATAATGAACTTGATCATCTCATTTTCCTGGAGGACAAATTATGAAATATGTCCTCAGATTTTATTTTTGGAGTGGGGGGAATAGGAAGACTGGATGCATGAAAAACGAATGTAGAGGATAGAGGATGTATCCTGCTATTTTTCCATGACAAACTTCTACATTTCATTGTAGATTGAATAGAAGCTGTATCTGAATGTTCTGAATAAAACGTCATAATGGGCCACGATTATCAGGGACTAACCCCGTACCCAGAACTGAACACTGACTGGCTCGGGCCGAAACATGACCCCCCCCCCCCCCCCTTGCCTGGCAGGCAGGTTTCTTGTGTGCTGGGATTTCCGCAGCACAGCCATCAAACTGGGAACGAGAAGAAACTGCCCAAAGCTACTGCGCCCAGGCCCATGGGCTTCTTCCATAGGAGGGATTTTGCCTTAAGGCTCAGATGCCCTGTAGTTACAAGTGGCACTGAGTGGACTTTCCTGGGGTGCAGAGGAGCAGATGGGAGGCGGAGGCTGCCCTGGGCTCTCATTCACCGGCTCCCCTTATACCTGGTTGGTTCTTCCTTGCTGATCTGTATCTGTCTATAATCTGCCTTCATTTGTGTGCTGATGTCACTTTCTTCTTTTCTTCATTGAAACAGACAAATGGTTACGATGGAGAGTTGTACGGATCACAGCCCCTGAGCAGAAGATCGGGCAGGGTTAGTACAGTACATTTGCATGGCACAGAATTCAAACAGGTTGCAGCGAAGCTTTTAAAAAATATTGCTCAATCTAGCTGCTTTTGTTTCTGTGTTACACTGGTTCTCTCCCCCCCCCCCCCCCCCAGCACATGACAGAATGAAAGCTAATGTTTTTCAACTAGGAAACATTCTCAGAATGTTAGTCTTCTGACATTCTAAGTGGTAGCGTAAGAGATTCATATTGATAAGAATCCCTGGGTTTAAAAGGTCTAGAACTAAATATTAGCTCTTTCATTATTTTATGGCCCTGTATGTGTATATTATGTATGTTCAGCTTTCAAATATACTGAAATTTGACATTTCCACCCTTCCACGTTTCTAGTTGTAATTTTAAAGACGGGCAGAGCCTGTGTTTTCCTGGATACCAGCGGTGGAATGCTCACGGTGCAGGGTTGGAAGCAGAAGGGAGTCATCCTGGGGCGGGGGAGGGGGTGGAAGGGTTGATGACCAAGCAGGAGTGCGGGAGAGGAGCCGGGGACACCTGGGCATTTATCAGGGAGGTCTCTGTGGATTTCAAAAGGCTAAATTGCCTACATTTTTAATTGTTTCATGACCTGCTGCAGATCTGTCGTACATTATACTATGTAAACTCTTCCTGTAATTAATGTTTGCTTCACTTTCTTTTACTAGTTGTGGAACATAGCATTCCTTTAAATTTATCTTAATTATATTAAGCTATGTCATAAGTAGACTTAAGTTCTGTGGTCAGGTTTCAAAGGGGTCACCCAGCCCCACCTTAGCTTTCTGAAACGGCTGATCAGGTTTCCCCTCCTGCCTGTTAGGGATTGCATATACTCTGTCTCTTGTCCACTTTTCTCCTTCCAGGCTAAGAAAAGCATCCTCTCGCTTACAGGCTGCCTTCCTACTTATGTGCTCTTTGCACAGACCTCCTGTGGCCTTCCTCCAGCCTGTTACGTGTTTCTTTACGTTTCGGTCCATTCTGGGACAGAGCACGTGGCCCACCATCGTGTCCTCTAGCCTGTGCCCAGCTGGCCCTCAGGACAAGAGCCACAGGGTCTCTGAGGGCCCCAGTCTGCCCGTCGGGGCTGTATTGACTAGTTTGCAGCTTTTTACCCTCAATGTATTGGTTCACCTTCATTGATCACGAAGTCTTATCGTTGAGAGTTGGAAATTGCTGTAGAAGCTCTTTAGTCTAACTTCAGGCCAATACCACCTTCTTCTCTAGAACATCCCACATGTGGTTGCCACGTTTTGTGACAGGACAAGGGGACATCAGGCTCCGTGTTCTACAAATACAGCCAAATGTTTTAATCCCTGGTTTTTATGTTGTTGGAATAAAAGTCTGCTTTATGCGTTATTAAGATTTAAGTAATGCCTCTAGAAATACAAAAGAACTTGATTGTAAAACTGTGCACCGCAGAGTAAAATTGGATATAAAACTGATTTAATAAGTAATCAAGAAGTATGATGATTGAAGAACCAATAACCTACATCTACTGCAGCAAGCAGCGTGGCTGGGCAGATCCGGGGCAGAACACCTCCCCCCCCCCACCCCCCCACACACACACACACACACACACACACACACACTGAGGGTGAGCTTAGAGCAGGGGTCCTCAAACTACGGCCCGCGGGCCACATGCAAATACAAATATTGTATTTATTCCCGTTTTGGTTTTTTTACTTCAAAATAGGATATGTGCAGTGTGCATAGGAATTTGTTCATAGTTTTTTTTTAAACTATAGTCCGGCCCTCCAACGGTCTGAGGGACAGTGAACTGGCCCCCTGTTTAAAAAGTTTGAGGACCCCTGGCTTAGAGAAAGGCTGGGTGGGTTTGGAAGCTTTTAGATGTGGGGAATATCAGTGTGGGAAGGAGTAAATGACCAGGCTGAAGGTAGGAGTTTGGGAACATTCTACAGGGAACTCAGTCTCCATAGGGGGACCGCTTGATGGTTTTGATCCCCACCTCATGTCTGCATTTGTAGCATTTACAGTCACCTCCCCATCTAAATTCTGGGTTGGTTTCAGGAGTTTTTAGAGTGTATATCCCGTAAAACCACAATGACAGCTGTAGGCCAGTTGCTTTCTGTGGATAGTGGTTCACAGATGGAAGGGGTGGCTCTCTCCAGCTGAGCGGGAGCCCTCAGGGCGCTGGCCTGAAGGAAGATTGCAGAATTTGCATCCATGGAGTTTTAGGTAGCTAAGAAGGTATGTAATACTGTAAGTTTAGATAGCAGGTGACAGATGGCCCATCATAAGATTTAGTAAGGAATTACAAATAATACTAGAGGTGGGAAATTGTGAAAAACCATAATAGTTACACTGCAGGGCATCACGGAGACGTCAACACTGGAACGTGAACGATAGCTCAGAGCCTCTAGTGCAGCGGTTCTCAATCTGTGGGTCGCGACCCCTTTGGCAGTCTAACGACCCTTTCACAGGGGTCGCCTAAGACCATCCTGCATATCAGATATTTACATTACGATTCATAACAGTAGCAACATTACAGTTATGAAGTAGCAACGAAAATGATTTTATGGTTGGGGGTCACCACAACATGAGGAACTATATTAAAGGGTCGCGGCATTAGGAAGGTTGAGAACCACTGCTAGTGTCCAAGAATTTCTGCGGCAGGGCAGCAGGTCTCTGTCCTCCCTCTGATGGAGGGCTGATGTGGTGTGGTTGTGTGCTCTGTGTTTGCCTTTGACCGGGACAGGCGGGCTTTGGGGATGAAGGTAAGGAACTGTGCATCACTTACAATGTCTTCTTTGGTGCCCAGAACTCCACCTACAGCGGTGACGGCAGATCCTCTACTGTGTCCTCGTCCAGAGAGGAGAAGTTGGTTCGTTTCCATTTAAATCTTTCACATCCTCTCTCCAGAAACGACAGGTTCTGTAGCATGCAACCTCGTGTGTGTGAATTCCGCTCTTTTCTATTTTAACATCTTCTTTACAGATTTTCATTTGGGTGGATTGTAAAGTCGGTTGTTGAGCAGTAATTAGTATGATATGTTTAATTCAGATGAATTGTGCTGGTCAGCTGGGTACAATGGAAGGAAGTATTTATGTGGCTGTTTGGTAGTTAGAATTAATCAGAAGAAAACAAAAAATAAGAAAGCTTGAACGTCTCTCCTCGAAAGTCCCCGGAAACAGAATTAGTGTTAGGGTGCATGCAAACTTGGTGGCAAGAAAATCAAATCCAAATCCACAAGTCTACACAGCAGAGTGCCTTCCCACGGATGTGCATCCGTTTTGATAGGCAAATAGTCCTCAATAGTTTAAGGGCCCTGGGAGGTGAGGCTTGCTTGTCCTAAGTCAGGTTCGTGTTCACAGCAAACACGGAGCTCGTGTAGGAAGGAGGATCACAAATGTTAGCGTTCACGTCCTGAACAGAAGACAGGCCCACCTGCCCGATACCCCTGTGCAGCGGGTGATGGGGAGAAACTCATTTTGCCAGGAAGTGTCATAACTAAGAAGTGTGCTCACCTTCAGGTGTAAACAGAGGGGGGAAAGAGAGAATAAGCGGAAAGTAACCAGGTAGAGCCACAGGAGTCTGTCTCCTCGCCTCTGTCATGCCTGGTCCCCTCCTGCTTCCTGCTTTTGCCTCTGGTGCGGGGGTGGGGGGCCGGGACATTGCTGGCAGCCCCATCACTTGCTCTCTCACTTTCCAAACGCCCACTGCTGCCTCCCAGCCCCTGTTAGTAATCAACACTCCAGCCTCACTCCGGGCCTCTATACCTTTCTTCCCCCAAGAGTTTTGAGTGAGCTGTAAGCAGAAAAATATGGGTGGGTTTTAACACCTTATTGAGTGTTAAACTATTGATGGGGTTTAACACTTTAAGAGTTTTGTGGGTATTATGTGCATTTTCTTAACTCCGGGGAATTGTTGCTATTACAAAGAGCACTTTGTCCCTCAGAAAACTTCCTGCTCACTCTCCAAGCGGAGATGCTTGCTCTCCAATAGAAGATGGTGGTAGAGACCCAGTGCCCAGTGAATTATTCGCCACAGCTCAGCATGTGTCTGACTCACTCACATTCATATAAGAGAAGAACCACATCCCCGGGGTGAAGTCACAGAGAGAGCTGGCCATTTGGAAGCATAAGGCTCATCGTATGTGTCCCACCATCACGCTGCCCGCCACCCGCCACTCGCCCGCCCTCAGCATCTCCCCGCCCGTTGCTGGGCTTTTGAATTTTACTTAAATCTAATAGCAGGAAGCTATCAGTGCAGTAGGTAGCACTGGAGACTTCTCTAAGGAACATCTCCCGCTGTTCACGTCGGAGCAAACCCCGCACTGGACCGTGCAGTGTCCGGAGGCACTTTCTCCCGCATGGCGACGTGGGCCCCTGTGCTTTCAGCCCCTGGAACAAGTCTCACCATTTGTGCCAAATATTAGGCAGTTCAGTTTCTTCCTGTCTAGCCCAGCATTCCGCTTGCCTGCTCAGGTCATTTTGGTACCTCTTATTCAAGGCGTAGGGGGGCAGGCACAAGTTACGGGCCTTGAAGGGGTGGCGGGCATCTTAAGGTGCCACCCAGCTACCTGAATGGAACCACTCCACATTCAGGGGCGGCCCTGTTCTTGTCTGGTTGGAGCACAGAAACGGGGCAAAGAACTTCCTCTCCCAGGGTCCTTTCGTTTGGGTAAAACATTTTATTTGGGGAAATTGTTAATTTATAGAGTAATATCCCCCAGCAATATTCTCTAGACCAGTGGTTCTCAACCTGTGGGTTGCGACCCCTTTGGGGGTCGAACGACCCTTTCACAGGGGTTGTTGCCTAAGACCATCGGAAAACACATATATAATTACATATTGTTTTTGTGATTAATCACTATGTTTTAATTATGTTCAATTTGTAACAATGAAATTGGGGGTCACCACAACATGAGGAACTGTATTAAAGGGTCGCGGCATTAGGAAGGTTGAGAACCACTGGTCTAGACCCTTGGTCTCAGAATTACAGCGCTGACTTCGCCGTGTCTGCTGTGAGTGGTGGGTGCCTGCTTTGTGCGAATACCCAGGAGGCCACGCCAAAGACCATTTCCAATGAAATGTTCCGCTACAGAAAATAAAGGTTGATATCTCCACAAATTCTTGGTTTTGAGCTTTTTCCCACCAAACTTTAAAAATCAGAACTCCAATTACAAAGACGTTCAACGCCCCCGTGGTCTTGCTGCCGATGAAAAATAGTGAAATCTGGTTTGCCTGTGTGCAGATTCGGAAGACCTGGTGTGGTCCCCACTGTAGTTCGTCAGTTAACGGGACCGTCTTTATTTCCTTCTGATCATCCCTCTGTCTCCCGCCCCCAGCAGTGCATGCCCGTTACCAATTTGGCTGTAAAAGTGGTTTTGTGTGAATGTACAATGCGGTGTGCCTTGGAGATGAAACAAAGCCGCAGCCTCGTCCCCTTCGCTGTGTTCTCTGATTTCAGGGGCCGTCCTGCTCTGACCTCGGCCTTCCCCGCGGTGGCCTTGCGCCCCAAGTCCTGTTCGCCCAGAGTGGAAGCCGGGTCTGTCTCCCCTTCTCACGTCCCTGCTTCCTCCTCCTCCTTCCCTGTGTGTCATCCACGGCTGAGTGAATGTGTGGACACTCACCCTCTCCCACATGAACTCCCAGGAGCAGAGCCCAGCAGTGGTTTCCATTCACTGACTTGCTAAGACTTTTCTCAACTGTTGAAAGCATTATCGCACATAACTTCAGACCTTATATAGAAAAGGGGGATTTAGGAAGAAGGAGGCTCTAGCGAATGGGTCTTTTCAAAAGCTCAGGGCCCCCAAATTGGTCTCTTGGGTCCCTCCTCCTCTTCCAGCAATTGTTCCCCATTTGGGGTTTCATTTGTTTTCTTAAAAAATATTTTTCTCTGGTTGGTGTGTCCAGGAAGCAATTTGGAAGGCTTTGGGGCATGATCGGCCTCCTCCGTCTCTGAGGAGGGGGGACAGCCCTGTTTCTTTGGCTCACGCTCCCCTGGCTTCCTGTTTGCACGGGCCCGCCTGCAGGCCAGCGGGTGCTGGGCCTGTGAGCTGTAGGGAGGCCCTGTGGCTCTCACACCAGGAGGCCCTGTCGGAGCTCCAAGTAGGGACCCAGTCATGGAGGCTGAATTGTCCTCTCCTTGTATTGTCCTGTCCCCCGCGTCGCTGGGTGACTCATCCCTGGTCATGCACATTCCAGGACTGGCCCGGTGGCCCTGTGCTGCGGGCTTTCCATGGCCTGTGCCTGGAAATGAGTCACGATGCTATTCTGGGGCTCAGTCTGCGGCCACACCAGCCTTCACGTCCCAGCACACCCTGCAGGGCTCTGGCTGGCCAGCAGCTGCAGGCCGACAGCTCCTTGTGTGTCGTGAAGGCTGCTCCCGACACCCTCTGCTAGAAATAAGTGCACTGCCGCTCCCTCTCCCTGCGTGGACGTGTGTGGATTAACACTCCTCCGTGCTTTCTTAACCTGGGGTTTGACTGCGGGTTTGGTTGCTCTTGTGGGTGTTGTTTCCCTTGTCACCATTCTGCCTCATCCCCTCACACCTTCTTCCAGGAATACCTGGAAAGAAATGACAAGAAAATAGTCATATTTCAAAGATGCTGGGGAAGTATAGTGTTTTAAAGTTAACAATCATCTTGCATTTCTCTTTCCTGTAAACTTGCGTTTGTATCTATCAAATACACTGAAAACATCGACTTCTTCTAACTATTGCACAACACTTTGGCTGCCATGCTAACCGAAAGTATCTGATTACCTGGCTTGGGATGTGTTGCCCTTTTTGTCAAGACTTTTAAAACCTGCCACTTACTTCCATCCTCCAGCCCTCCTGTCTGTACAGCGCTGCCCGGCCAGCGGGGAGTTCCCGGGTGCGTGTGCTCGCCCCCCTTCAGGCCCCTCTGTCCTCCCTGTCGTGCCCCCACTGCGCGTGTACGCCCCACCCTGCACACCTGCATCTGTCAGCAGCCCTGCTGGGATGACCTGCCGGTGACATGGTGCTCACACCTGCATGGTGTCTGTCACCTTTGGCCAGATCTGGGTTTTATTCTCCCTACAGCTGACAGTAACTGTCACCCGGCTTCCGTCCCCAGGAAGGCAGTGTTTGTCTAGCCTTGCTGGGCAGGAATGGAGCAAGGCAACATTTACTCAATTCATTGGCAGAAAGAAAGGCGGTTTTTTATTGCTTTGGTGTAACATTAACAGGTATTAATCCGTTGTGTGCTGTATTACCTTGGAAATTTCCAGTTTTAAATACAAGGTACTTATGTGAGTGGGAAACTTAAATATTCAAAGTGGCTATGCTGAGTGGTTAATAACTTTCTGAATCTCCACCAGATTGCACACTTGTGAATTAGACACGTCACTGGCTGAGCAAACCAGCTGTGTCAGGGGAAACAGGAAATGGGAGGCCCTTTGAGCTGGGCAAAGGCTGACATGGCCAGTCACGGTATTATAAACTCCTGTTACCCTCGGTGTTTCATTACATGGGATTTTCATGTTAATCAGATATTCTGTTTTCTAGTTCACACATTTTAAATAATTATAAAAATCAAACTGCAATTAATGTCCTATTTTGTTCCAAAGCCACTTCATATTAGAGTCGTTTTCTAAACGCCGGGTACAAGGATGCCGTGACGAAAGTCAGGATATTTGAATGATCTGCTCAGCTAAATCTGGGCTTACAGGTTTTCACTCAGCGAGGCGTCTTTTTCAGAGTCATAGGTTGAAAGAACCTACTGGTGTCAGCAGCAGCTAAACGTCTCTCCCTTGGATTTTGCACATGCCTGCCCTGCTCCCCAGCACTCGCCCTGGGACGGTAGCTTTGAGCCCTCCCTGCATGCCTTCCCTCTCCGTGTCTTTGAGGATGCGCCCCCGGCATGTGCCGGTCTGCCTCGGCTTGTGTTGTGGAGTTTTCTGGGTGCCGGGAGAGAGGAAGCCACCCTGTCCTGACAGTCTGTTTTCCACAGGCGTCTGTGTTCGGGGACGGCAGTCTCGGTGGGCCTCGGCGGGGAAGCGCCTCTGGTTCCTATGCTGTAAGGCGCTGTCTGTGCTCCCAGAGCTTCCTCCCGTCTGCTGCATGACCCGGGGGGCTCGCCCAGCAGCGTTCCAGCCCCAGGGATAACTGGCCTAGGTCACAGGGAGGAAGGACTGTCTTGTCCCAATTTCCCATGGACGAAGTGGCATGGATAATGGGAATCACGAAGCCTGTGGGCATTAGTTCCGTGTCCTCACTCATTGCAGTCACAGGGAGGAGACTGACCCGGGCTGAGCTTCATCAGCTCTTTCCCTGCCACAGGCAGACAGTACGTAAGTAGTGAAGGGGTTGGTCTTAGGAGGAAGAAGAGGAGACTCAGACAGGCCACCGGTTATTTCCACCTCTGGATCATCAAGAACGATGAACACATTCAAAGACTCAGAACATTACACGGATGCCATTTCCTCATTTTATTTTGCCTTCCCCCCACTACAAAGGCTTGGAAATGGTATTTCAGTAAAGGTGTGGTAGTTGTACATGAAATACTTGTTGAATGAAAAAACTGGGTGAGTGAATGAGTGGGTGATGGAGGTGAGCAAATAGAGAAATGAACAGTCAGTCCAGGGAAGCGAGGAAGCTAATGAGCCCCTCCCACAGACCAGTGGGAACGGAGCATCAGCCCTAACCAGCCCTCCCCATGGTCAGCAGTTCTGCATCCCAGGGCACCCCCACAAAATCCCATAAAAATGCACCACACCTCACGTGCAATAAAATGGCTTCCTAAGAAATACCCACAAGTCCCATAAAAATGCACCGCGCCCCACGGGCAATAGAATGGTTTCCTAAGAAATACTTGAAAGTGTTTTTTTAATTTTGCTTTCCAAAATGATTGGCTACTTCATAAATTAGTTACATAATCCGATTTTATGATTTTTTCTATTTCTCCAATCATCATGAATATTCAGAGATTCTTACAAAGTAACCAGTAACATCTACCGTTTTCTTTAGAATGTGATTTTTATGAATATTATATCTAATAATTAACTCACATCGCATTAGTTTTCGTTGACATCTAATTAGGCATTTATCATTTTATGTTGCATAACATTTTTCATGTTGTGGAGCTGCTTTTCCCAGTTCTTAGGTATTTGTGTAGGCCATTACGAAGTTCATAAAGCTCATGGGTGAAACAGCTTTAGGTCATATGTGATGGATAAGTGCCACTAAATGACTTTCTTTTATCAGAAGAGACAGCATACTCATTCTTTAAGAGAACGAGACTTCCCCAAGAGCTACGTTTCCTGTGGCCCAAGTAGAACTTCTGGTGTCTGGTGGGACGTGTGCCATAGATTCTCTTTAAATGCCGCCTCTGTGGCTGGACTTTTCTGGAGTAGCTGACCTTGGCCCTCAGAGGCAGTAGCTCCTGTATGTCCAGCCTCCGGTAGGACTCGCCCCGCGGGAGCGGCTTTCCTGGAGTGAAGGAAATGAAAGGCCTTCTCGTCCCTAAAATAGGGCCGCGTGTCCCTGGTATCCCACCATGCAGACAAATTAGAGAAGAAGAAGAAATTGTTTCCCGGCTGAACAGTGCCCTCCCACGCGCGAGGAGCTCAGCACGCGTTTGTTTCTTCAATTGAATAAGTTGAACCCTGGGGTCAAACTTCTCGGGAGAGATCTTGGGGCGTCAGCTCTGTTCTCAGCAGCAAACCAGCTGGCTGAGTGGGAGGAAGGTTCAAGAGCTCCCACCTCCCACCCCATCTCACCAGCCTCACGGTCCCTCTCCACGTGGACAGGGGGCCCCTTTCAAGGTGGGGCTTGGCAGGGCTCCCCCAGCTCTCTGCCCAGAGAGTAGCTGTGGCCACTGATAAATACACACATCTTGTGAGCAAGCTCGGGGTCCACCCTCTCCAGAACCCCGAGAGCGACCTCAGAGCCCAGGCTGCCCCCAGCCTGCCCGGGACAGCCTTGCTCTAGGACAGTGATGGTGAACCTATGACACGCATGTCAGAGGTGACACGCGAACTCTTTTTTTTTTGGTCGATTTTTCTTTGTTAAATGGCATTTAAATATATAAAATAAATATCAAAAATATACATCTTTGTTTGCAGATATGAGAGAGGAGACTTCCTCTGGTTGCAAATATCAAAAATTTCTATATGTGGCACGGCACCAGAGTTAAGTTAGGGTTTTTCAAAATGCTGACACACCGAACTCAAAAGGTTCGCCATCACTGCTCTTAGGAGGACCCCTCTCACCTCCATTCTCCCAAGACTTTAGCCTCCAACACAAGACGTGTTTACAGCTAAGTGACTTCATTAGCATGAGATTGAATGACTAGTTCTGGAAAGTAGAGCTGTTTTGCTTGAAAACCTTGCTGCTTTACGCCTCCCTTGCCATTACTAAGCCCTGTGCGTGGTGTGGAAGGACGCATGGCTGCGTGTGAAGTGGCTCTCGGTTGTTTGACACGCCGGGCAGCGATCAGGAACCGTGGGCGGTCTTCCTAGCAGAAGAGTGAGAGGCAGGCGGGGAAACGCCCACTGTGCGTCCTCCCTTAGCCCTCGGTGCCTGGTGTGGTCCCGGTCCTCACTTCCCGTCACAGATGACAGGCTGAGTCACTTTTCCAAAGTCTCATGGCCACCAGCAGATGGAGCCTGGACCGGAACTCAGATCTTTCCAACTTCCCTCAGCCCCTTGTACATCACACTAACTCCCAAACAAAGGCAGCTCCGGGCGGCACGCAGACCATAGCGACAGTTTCTGCCTAGGAGTTGGGGCGGCTTGGGCTGGCAGTAAGCTCAGAACACTCTGCCTTCTCTCTGCACCCTGAACCAGGATGCGGGTGACAGGAACTGGCAGGACTTGTCTGCCGGAGGAAGTCTCCTCTCTCATATCTGCAAACCCAAAGGCGACGTCTTCTGCCTTACGGTGCAGTTAGGTGTTTTCTTTTATTTTGCACAGTAAAGCTACAAGAGGAGGCTAGTGATGCTGTACATGTCTCGCATGTCCCGTATGGCCATGGCTCTTACATACCATTGTCAGTGCACCTGAGGCACCGTCTTGCCTGTGAGTGTGTGTGTGTGTGACCAAATGAAATTTTTCATTCAACAAGTATTTTCTGAGTGCACACTGTGTGCCAGGCCTTACCTGGTCCCTGGGACTCAGAATGAGATCAATGCCGTCCTCACCCTCAGGGAATCACATCTGCTGGGAAAACAGCCCATGAAGAGCTGGCGTTTAAGATGACGATGGCGAGCACCCCAGCGCTCTGGCCCCTGTAATGTGCGTGGGGTAACGCCTGCGGGTGTCCCGGTGGGTGCCCTGTGTCTGTGTCGGGAAGCGCCCCCCGCAGGGCTGCTCCTCTGGCCGGGCCAAGCCTGCTGGACGCCCGTGATCCCACCCTGCCGTGCTCGAGAGGAAAGTAAGAATTTGAAAACAACAGCAGCAAGGAAACATGAAACGTATCTAGGATGAGGACAGACGTGACCACAAATCGAAGTTGAGAGGGTGTGGCCTCCGGATAAGCTGCTGGCGTTTTCCTTTCCCGGGAGAGGGTTTAGGTAGGGGACAGGCAGATCAATGCCTGTCTTTTGTCTGAACCTGAACTCTTCCTATGCCTCCACTTGGGAAGAAGGTAGAGAAGCCAGCATTCCCCTTGCCCAGCCCCGGGCCATGTCTGCTCTCCGCGCTCCGTGCGGGGCCAGGAGGCGGCTCACGTTCTCAGACGTCCTTTCCACAGCAGTGAGGCGGCCCTCTGCACCCACCAGGCGCGACTCCAGCCACGTCCACAGGGGCTTTGTGTCACTTCCTCCTTACTAACCAAGCGTTCTGTGTTCTTCTGACGTGATGACGAATGGTTTCGCTCAGTGGGAAGCCTGCTCCATGCTCACCTCTCGTCTGCATTGCACGGGGCTGCCTCTCAGCTAACAGCCCTAAATGGGGCCTCTATCCTCCATGCATCTCTGCTAACCTGTCCCTTTCTCTCTGCCTGCCTGCGGCCCACCGGGCTGTGCACACAGCCCTCGGAGCACAGCGGCCACCTCAACTCCAGCTCCCGCGCCTCCTCCAGAGCCAGCTCGGCGCGGGCCAGCCCAGTGGTGAGTGTGCCTCTGTCTGCTGCCTCTCTCCCTCCTCACCTGTCTGCCCTCTGTCCGCCTCCACAAGCCTGGACGCAGGAGAAGGTAGCAAGGCCTCTCCTTAATCTGTTATGTCTAAGTACAAACACAAGTGCGGGGGGCGGGGCGGGGCACTACCCAGTTTGGAGTATTACTATTTGGTGATCCCGGAACTGCATTGCAGAGTTTCTAAAGGACCGGGTGAGGGCTGTTTAAACAGCGGGGCTGGGAGGTGGATCTTACTGGGAAGAGGGAGCTTTGAACAGTGGGGGGAGTGTAGTCATGTGCATCAGTGTGTTGTTTTTTATGATTTGAAAACTGAAAGGATTGACTTAACATTCTGTTTGACATGTTACTTGTTCGACCCGGGCGGTTTTTCCACGCGGTGTGGGCCTGACAGTCCACGGCATCCCTAGCTGTGCTCGGTCCCCACCACCCCGCCACCCTCGGGGTCTCAACCTCTTCAGTGTGTGCGAAACCACAGGATGCACTCCTGTTGGTCACTCGGCATGGAATGACCTGTGTTTTGCTTCGGAAAATAAGGGGCCCTACCATCTAGTCCCCATCCTTGGAGTGTCATCATTACGCGTTTTCCTGAGTCTTTGGAACATTAGGCACTTTCACCTCATCGGATGCTTTGTATGTGGCTGCTACACGTTCTTTGAACAATAAGGGATTTACAGGGTGGTTTTGCCCGGGGACTCCTGGGGATGGGGGAGGCTGGCCGTGACCAGGGGAGCGGTGCTCAGTGAGCAGGAGTGGGGCCACAGTAAACCCTGGACACAGAAAGAAAGCTGGGCAGCGTGGGTCCGTTTTCTCCACTCCTCCATCATGGAGACGCTCGAGTGTGGTTCTGAACTCAGTTAGGCCGTGCTCCTGGCAGTCCGAGAAGAGGCCTGGAGCTGAGCTCTCCGTGGCACACGTGGCCACGAGCACTGGTGGCTTGTATGTTCTTTAAATTAGATGCAGTCTTTTAAAGTCACGAGGGTCCCTACCAAATGCAGATGTCAGCTGCTTCTGGGGAAGCAGGCAAAGGGACCCCTGGAGACTGGGCTCATATTGCTGAATGGGGTGGGTGGGCGGCCCTGGTGCTCCCTCCCTGGGTCCTGCCTCCGTGCCAGTCACCTCTGGGCTTGCACTGGTGTGTTCCTGGTAGTGGAGAAATGTCCCTCTCCACCATTACCCAGCGGGGGTGAGAAAACAGCAGATGGGTCAAGGCGGTGGGTGTTAGAACAGAAGATGTCCCCAGCGTGGGCTGCAGGCACCACCTCTGTGCCCGTGTCACCTGCCCGCCCACCCTCACCGCCACTGGAGCCTCCCACCCATCCTGGAGACCAGGCGTGAGGGGACCAGGAGAAGCCGCGTCCTGAACGCCCTCGGCCGGGCGGTAAGGACACCCCTCCAGGCCAGGTGCTCATCACTCGCCAGCACCCATCGGGCAGGAAGAGCGAGATACTCAGCTGTTCAAGATCATGTAACTTCCGTTTTTAAAATCTGGCAAAGCTGCTGCTTACGGATGTTGCAGAATGACCAAAGGGCACTATTTTCGAACTCAAATTCCTGCCGACTGAGGCCAGCACACCTGCCGGCCCCCAGCGCGAGCCTCCTCCCAGCTCGGCTCTTCCCTAGGTTTTCACACATCAACTCACCGACGTGAAACCTTCCAGCCCCTCGGAAGAAACATTCTGCATGGAAGTTAATGGCAAGCCCATCCTCCTTTTGGAAAGAAGGAGCACAGTTGACCAGCGAAGTCTGTGGCTCCACTTGCAAAGGGCCCTGGCCCCTGAGCACACGGCATTGTAAAACCTGTGGTTATCTGACGTTCAGGTTTATTCAGGCATCGTGATGACGCCACAGAATAACAGGCTCAACCTAGTCAGACTGAAGAGACTGAAATCAGATACAGATGTCTTTGTCAGAAGCTTCTAAATTGTGACAAATTTACTCCCATATCACGGGTTTAGTGGATGCCCATAAGCAGAGGGGAGCGTGAAATGTGCCTGGTGTCCCCGGGGTCTGGTGACCAGAGCTGGGTGTCCCTGCAACTGAGGCCCAGTGAGGTCCCCACCCTTGGGAGCTGTGGGTAGGGTCGCAGCTTTTTCTGCAGGTGCCATCAGGGAACGAAGCACAATGGGTGGAGGGCCCTCACCGTTCTAAATCTCTCCTTTTAACTGAGGGTCTAGTTGAGGAGACTTCAGACTGCACTGGCCCCTTCCGCCAGTTCCAAAACTCACGGCCGGGCGACCAGTTGAGAGGGACTGTGCAGTGACATTGTTTCTGTGACCCCGTTTCCCATTCAGGGTCGGGGTGCTGGCTGGGCTGGTTGGGGGAGGGGGGCGGGCTGGGGACACCGTGAGGAAAAATCCTTTGTGCCTGGCCCCTGTGCCTGTGCTGGGGTCTCTCTGTGCCCACAGACTGTACTCTGTGTCTAGGGAGGTAGGCAGGCCAGATGGTGTATGGAGACCCTGAAATTTTACACCTCACCAGACGCTGTGGTTAAGTGAGTCTGCATAGTAAACTCATTTATAGGATGTTAGAAGGCTGGAGTTAAATATTTAATGTACTGCTTTCAGCATTTGTTTTTCAAAGGAAGAGTTGCCATAATTTAAAATTTCACAGAAGTATTTTTAGAAGTGACTCTTTCCAGTAGATTTGTAACAGCTGTTTTTGTGCGCACCCAACTATGGCTGAAATCCTGTACGTCATTCCTAAACCTGTTACTATGAGGTGGCCACACTGACCTACAGTGTTTAGTATCGCTCAGGAAATGAAAGTCATGAATGCAATCGGCTGCAAGATATGTGGCCGCTGTCGCCCTTCCACGAATGAGACGTCCATGCTGGTGTGGCCGGGCCTGTCCCTGGTCTCACTGCTCACGTCCACATCATGTTGTCGGGTTCCGTTCATCCCCCTGGGCAGCAGCCACCACGCTGTTTCTCTGTTTTGACTCCTTGTATATTATTTCCAGAGATAAACTGCTGAGCTTTGTGTCAAAATTAAACACACCATCTGGGTTACGTTGTTTGGGGAAAAAGGAAGGGACTGCTTTATTAAAGTGGGTGCAGCTGCCTGACAGCTTGGCGCACTGCCATCTAGTGGGATCCCCGGGCACTGCAACAGCTTCATGCTGCTCTGTCCATTTCCCGGGGGCTCCAGGTACTTGGGTCTCAGGAAGGCGGGCAAACACCACCCGCCCCTTGTCACTCAGAAAGCAGACAGAACACATGTACTCTAATATGTAGAATAGAGATTTGCAGCAACAGTTAGGCATAGATTGGCTATAACTTTCCTTGAGAGCGTCATTTTTCTACGTGGTCTCTATTAAAAACATCAGTGTTCACATTCTGAGTCCATTACCTATTGCAGAGCAAAGGCTTTTTTAAAACTATTTTAAACTTGTTTTAAAATTAAAGAGAAAACTATGATTTTAGGGGTTTTTTTCTTCATCATTTGATCTTTTGCGAATTACAAACACAATATTTGTGTTTTGGGTACAGGCGAAATGACGCAGAGCAAAGCTGGCCTAAAGTCCCCATGTGACCAATACTTGTGCTCTGTGTCTGTTCTTTCTTATCTTTCTCGCAAGAAATACTAAAAAAATAAAATGTGGAGTCCTTTTATAGGGACAGATACCTTTGTAGGTGAACGTAGGATTTCTGGGGCTTCACTTAGCTACACAGTCTTTATCTATTGCTGATGACCAGTCAGAAAAGCTACCACTTAACCACGAAGCTAAGCAGCAGCGGGCTTCTCCAGATAGCTTGACGGTCTATTAAATGGGGCCTCCTTCTTCCACTAAGAGTTAAGTTACTCTTTTTATTTTCATCTCATTATTGTTTGTTCTGCAAATTAGCTTATTTGGGGGATTGAAGGCCTTGGGCCCAGCTGGTTTAATGAATTGATTTCCAGCAAACCAGGTGCTTGACAGTTAGCTTCTCCTTGGTTATTTGAAATGTTTTTATTGTTGAAAGTATTACAGATGTCCCCTTTGTTTTTCCCATTGACCCCCTCCACCCTGCCGCCGCCCCTCCCAGGCCTTCACCACTCTATTATCTCTGTCCATGTATGCGTATAAGTTCCCCAATTAATCACTGCCCACCCACACACCCACCCCCGCCTTTCCCCTGAAATTCATCAGTCTTTTGAAATTTTCAGTAATGTTATTCCCAAGTGGAGAGAAGACCTACCCCTGAAGGTAGTCATCACAGCTCAGAACTGGGGTGCAGGGTGGTGATGTAGAACCCTCTCGATCGAGGCCACCTTGATTCCCAGAACATCTAGTCAGGCCGAGGTGGCACGCACATCTGAAAACATAACAGTTCTAAATGTGCACTCTTACACGTACAAGTGGTGTGGCACGCGGCTGGAACGTCAGAGCTCCATAATGGGATGTAACTGCCAAGTTGAGTGAAAAGGGCGCCTGTGGGCGAGAGTTCTGGAAAGCTCCCATGAGACACCGTTTTGCCCTGGTCTCTGGAGGACAGCCGGCTGTGGGCACAGGAGAGTGCTCTGGCACAGGGAGCCCCAGGATCTGAAGCCCCACCCAGGGCGTGAGGCCGGCCCGAGGGACATGGTCCCTGCTCTTGTTTCCCCTCCTGCTCTTCCGAAACTAAGGAGACTGAGAGGAGAGCAGAGTTCCTCCTGGAGGCCAAGGCGCGGGCGGGCAGGTGACAACAGGTGCTCTGGGAGCCAGATCCCGGGGTGAACTTGGGTCTGTCGAGCTTGGCCATTCTGAGCTGAGAACTGGTTTGGAATTGCCTCCTTTCAGAAAGACCGAGCATGTTGTCAGGTTTCATTCACCCCCTTGGTTGGTGATTAGCTGTCACGCTTTGCTGTGTCATTTTACTGGTCCATTCAGGCATCCTCTTCTCAGAGCGCAAGTTGAGGTGCAGGTTTGGAGGAGAGAACGTGGCAGGTGGTGAGCCTTCTTGGTGGGGGACAGGCTAGTGAGAGCCTGCTCCCCAGCGTGGGCCCAGGGCGCACACAGGACGGGAAGTGGCCATGTTTTCAGGGCGTCACTGCCTTGACATCCTGACCAGTGTTTAGCACCTGCGCCCGAATGCTGCCCCACGGACAGCGTCACTGTCACAGTTCCTGTGTTCACGAGCCGCTCCGCATGGCCTGGGCCGCAGCTCCGTGGGGAGGTCTCAGCCCAGAGTCTGGGCCGGCTGTGGGGCACACATGCAGAGGTCCGAGGGTCCCCAGTCACTGGTGAGGCTGACTGGCTCAGGCGTGCTCTGCCCTCACCAGTTCGTAGCAGTGGATCCCAGGCCTCGAATGGAAGAAGCTCTGAGCTTCCGGAGGCAGATTGGAGACACGACGGGGAAAGCATGATGAGTGGCGGCTTTCCCCGGGGAGTTTGGAGACGGCTGAGCACAGGGTTTCCTCATCCTCTGTGACCTTCCAGTGGGCTATGGAGAGGATCCCTCTATGGCAAGGATCCCAAAAAAGGGAAAAAGGAAAAGAAACATTTCTTTTGTTGGACACTGAGCAGAGAAAGAAGTAGTGCCATTGTCAGCGTGGCCCCTTCCCTAAGACCTCTTGAGGCGAAGGGTGGCCGGGTCGCTGTTCATGCAGCCGCGTGGCTGCTCTCGTCCCGTCCCACCGGGACGCCTACCTGCCGAAGGGAGAAGACGGGCCTCGGAACCACATGCAAACAGCAAATTGAGAAAAGGCAAATGCTTGGGGCCCCACTTCTCACCTGGCAAAGTCTCCTGTACCTTCAGCCCCCCCTCTCCCACGCCCCCCAACCAGCCTCCCACATCTGGCACTCACCTCCAGATGTTTGAACCAGAAGGTTCACACTGACCCAGTCACCCGTGAGAAGAAGAAACGGCTACAGCTGGCTCGCTGCTTTCTCTTGCTTCAGAGGCCACGCTCAGTGCGAGTGGAAATGAACACTCCGTGGTTGCACCTTCCAGCCCCAGGACCCCCGTGTTCTCGCTGTCTAGTCACAGTGGCTGCAGAGGGTAGACAGGTGTGGGGCGTGCGGTCCCCTCCTGTGCGGACACAGACCTGCACACCGAGCTGCAGGAATCGGAAAGTAAACGGGCTCAACCGAGTTCCTGAGCAAGCTCCTCACCGTGGGCCTTCCTGCGATCGCTGTGTGGTTTCGGCGTCATGACGTTCCGGTGGAAACCGTAACAGTTGAGAAGCCTGGCTCTCTGAGCCGCTGTGGGCAGTGTCTGTGTCGCCTGGCATAGGCATATCAGAGGGTCTCATGGGCAAAGTGGTTTTTAAACTACAAAGGGAACTATTGTGTTATCTTATCATCATCTTACCCTCCATCTCGATTATCCATTTAAAGCCTATGTTTAATATTTGTGCATTTTCCTCTCCAGGTTGAAGAGAGACCAGAAAAAGATTTCACTGAGAAGGTGAGGAATTTCTATAAGCCTTTATGTTATGTCATTAATGAACCTAGTGGGTCCCAAAATGTATGGGTAAAACTAACAAGAAAATATGTTGCTTGACCTTTAATAAAGGTCTTCACCAGTGAGTGAACAGGACAGTGTGTGGGCCACCAGCCAGCGTCACAGCCTTGGGGGAGGAGTCCCCGGGGGTCACTTCCAGTTTATGCGTTAAACCCTCGGAACAGTGACGGATGGTAGGGTGAATGCCAGTTCCCGGCACCGTGGGCCCCTCAGTGTGCAGCTGTCTGTACTGGCTTCCGCAAGCCCACGGAAGGTGTTCCAAGTGGGAGACTGAATTCCAGTGAAGGTCCCGTGCAGGGAATTTGGGTTTTGTCTAAAATCGTGTCTGATTCTTGCCATGCTCTAGGGGTCTCGTAACCTGCCCGGCCTGTCTGCAGCCACACTGGCCTCGCTGGGTGGCACCTCCTCCCGGAGGGGGAGCGGGGACACCTCCATCTCCATCGACACCGAGGCATCCATTAGGGAGATCAAGGTAAAGCTCTACTAATGACCCTTTATTCAAATGTGTCTCCAAGGGGAAAAAAGGCTTAATTCCTAAAGTGCCAGATGTTTTTTCTCGGTCCTGTCTCCTCTGCCTCCATAAACAGGTGTTCTCGTAACACCAAGACCCAGCGCAGACCTGGTCGCCCCAGGCGGCCGTCCCTGCCTGCCCCACCCCAGCAGGGCCCATCTGCACCCAGGCCTCTGCTCCCCCTCAGCTCTGAGGCACACCTGTGCCAGCACTCACCACGCTGCACAGAGGTGCTGGGCCACTCTGCCTGCCCTCTGCACGCCTCTGCCCGTTCCTTCTGTGTCACACACCTTCAGGAGACGTCACCACGCGGTTTGAGTGGCTTTTTCTTCTTCCGCTGGGATGTGGACACTGTTCTCTGTACCATCCTCAACACTGGATGTGAAACGGGAATGCAGTGCTGTTGTTAAAGTACCTGCATCTGGAAGGAGCCCACCAGAGGGCAGGTGTGTCCTCCGAGAGCAGAGGAGGAGCTCCGAGCTTCAGATTTGGCTTCATCTATGGAAGCGCTTTCTAATAATTAAACTGCATAAAAGAGAACCAGCTGCCACGGGGGCTTTCTGAACCGCTGGGGGCCCGTTTGCCAGGGAGGCCAGAGGAGAGATTTAAGTCTCAGCGGGGTGGAACAGGTCCCTCGAAGGTGCCTGGCGAGGCCTGTGCTTCATACGAGTATCATTTTACTGTTCTTCCTAACATGTGCCCTGGGCCACCCCGGGCCACCTGCAGCTCTGTTCATTCCTGTGCTCCACTGATGCCGTATTTGCTGTTTGCTGCGATCCGGATTTGTCTCTGCCCCAATTGATGTCTCTCTCTCGTCAATGTTCCTGTCTCTCTATTCCTCTCCCTTCCTCACTCTCTAAAATCAATGCAAACATATTGGGGAGGGGTGGGAGAAGAAGGAAGTCACTGCTCAGACTGTTAGAGGAGGCCGCCCAGAAGCAGGAAGCTCTTGCCTCTGTCTTTGTGGTCTTGTCCACCTCTCCCTTGACATCACTTGCCTTTCTTGCCATCCCCCCAGGAGCTCAGTGAGTTAAAGGACCAGATTCAGGATGTGGAAGGCAAATATATGCAGGGACTGAAACAGATGAAGGTACCAGTGGATGGAGTGTGGGCTCATGACATTAACCTAGCTTAACCTAAAAACATCCTAAAGGAGACGTTCAAAGCGCATGCTAACCCTACTGACGCCCCAGATTCCAAATGGGGAGAGCTACATGGTGTGTGCACGCTGCGTGTCTTTGTGAAGCTTTTGAACCAAGAAAAAGCTACTAACACGTTTCCTGATTCACGTCTTGTCCTCACGCAGCCCTCCTCCCCGGCTGAAACCAGGAGCAAGCAGACAGGCGAGGAGGGGTTTTTTGTTTTCTTCGCTTTCCACAGCGGTTACGTACACACACCGCCTTACTTCATCTGCCTCGCCACATATCTGACGTCTGCAGTAACACAGTCCCTGTGGCCATGCTTAGAAATGCCCGAGTCATTTGCATGTTGTAACGCTGTACTGATTGGAGCAGTGTCTGAAAGCGCCTCGTGTTGGGTTTATTTGCGTATTAGGGCGTGGAATCACTCTGTTGTTCCAACCGGGACATTTAGTTGTCATTCCTGGAACAGTCAGGGCCTGTGTCCTGTCTTTGTTAGGCAGCCATGGCAGACCACGATCTCGCAATAGAAGGTAAACCTGTCACTTCCCCGAGCTCCCCAGAAAGGACCCCCCAGTATCGCAGGGGCATCAGAGCAGAGGTGACAAATCACACAACGAATCACTTTCATATTTGTCGCCTCTTTTAAAAAAGAAAAATTAAGACCCTGGCCTTTAACTCACAAGAAGGGAGCCAGTGAGGCAGCCCAGGAATCACTGGTCCCACTCAAAACCCTTGCCCTGGTTTGCGAGCGCAGGTGAGACCAGCACTGGCCCCTGACAGCTGACCAAGCAGCGCCAGCCTCCTTCAGCTTTAGGTGGCTTATAGCCAGGCGCTCTGCTCTCGCCTCCGAAGTCGCCTTCCCCTGCTCTCTGTTTTGGGAGCTAAATGCCACTGTGCTCTCTCGGTTGCCTGCCCTCCGGAGGCGGGAGCCACGTGAGGGCCCTGCGTGCTCTTCCCTGGGCGGTCCTCTCACAGGATGGCCTCTGTCTGTCCAGGGCCCACCCGCTGAGGCCTGTGTGCCTGGTGTAGTTTTCCTGTGGGTTGAGAATCTGAAATTCCACTTCATCCTTTCCTGGTTCATGGGTACAGACAAAGATCTCTGGTAGCTCAAGGCAGGGGTTTGCTTCTCTCAGAGAAGCTGGCGCGGTCCCCAGTTCTCGCCACGTCACTTGAACGATGACTTCAGAAACCTGTTGAACCGCCTGACCCACTCCAGGCAGCTGCTGCATCATGGGGTTGGGACTCACTGCCTGTGACCAGACCCTCTCCATCGGGCGTCTCCCTGGTCCTGTGACTGTGTAAACCATCTTCATCCCTGGGCACAGCTAACAACTAACTTCCTGAGTGCCGAGAATTTGATCACATTGAAAGGGAGGCATTTCTGTGCGTTTGAAATTGCCGTGTGTGTCCTGTTTTGATCCATTTGCTCTAAGAAAGTCTAAATTTAGAGCTGAATTGTTTGTTTTTAAGAATGCCGGACTAAACTTTGTGGTTTTTTTGTTTTGTTTTCTTACTATAATTTCAACAATATGGCCTGGCTTCTGCAGGACTCGCTAGCAGAAGTGGAAGAGAAGTATAAGAAGGCGATGGTTTCCAACGCCCAGCTGGACAATGAGAAGATGAACTACATGTACCAGGTCGATACCCTGAAGGACACGCTGCTGGAGCTGGAGGAACAGCTGGCGGAGTCTAGGCGGCAGTATGAGGAGAAAAGCAAAGTAAGCTTCAGTGTAGTGAGAATGGTCGAACAGATACGTAAATGTATGTACTTGTATATGGTGTGTACATATATGGTGTGTCAGTGTGGTTGTGTGTCGGGGGGGGGGGGGTGTTTTCCAGGTTCCATAAAAGTCTGAGTTTTCTTTTTAATAATTTTTTTCTTTTTCAATGCATGTATGTGTGTTTATTTTATTTTTTTATTGGTTTTAGAGAGAGAGGATGGGAGAGGGAGAGAAACATCAATTGGCTGTCTCCTGCACGCCCCCTACTGGGGATCAAGCCCACAACCTAGGCATGTGCCCTCCTGGGAATCAAACAGAGAATGGAGAGCCATGTTGCCAGGTCTCTGGAGTGAGTCTTGTAGAGGGGAGGGTCCGAGGCGGGGGGAAGGGAAGGGGAGCGCGGCCAAGCTCTTCTGCTGTCCCCCGCCTTTTCTGTTTGGTCCCTGGAGGGCAGAGTTGGTCAGCCTCTGTTAAAAAGATAGGCTGACCAAAGTAGGCATATTTAGCCCCCTTTTTAACCCAAAGGGTATTCCCTGTCATATTTCAAAGTTAGGGATACTTTTAGCATAAATCCTTTGCAAAGCTGGGTCCTCACTGGGGCCCTCAGCACAGCCAGCTCCGTGGACAACAGCAGTCACCTTCACAGAGACCCTTCCTAGGGCGTTACCTCCTAGAGAGGAGCCAGGAAACGCTATCCGTTCCATCAACTGCAATAATTTTATAGTAAACCACAGGGTGTCTTCTAGAAAGTCCAGAGAAATGGGTTCATGGTGTTCAAAAGGCCTTGGACACTGTGCTGACGTGGTCCCAGGTCATGCGTTCCGAGGCAGAGGTAAGTCGAGGGGGCGTGAACTCGACCAACGGGAAACCGTGGCTCCCCCACCTGATGCCCTGCTCCTTGTCCGCAGGAATTCGAGCGGGAGAAGCACACCCACAGCCTGCTGCAGTTTCAGTTCGCCCAAGTGAAAGCCGCCCTGCAGCAGAGAGAGGAGATGCTCGAGGTGGGTAGCTGCTCCCCATTCTGCTCTTCTTGTGTGACTCAGGAGCATTTTGTTGGCTTATTACTAAAGCCACGGGTTTTCTGGAAACCAAGGGCTTAGGCTCATTCTCCGTGCCTCGTTGATGGCGTCCTGTTCCTCCCATTCCTGGGTGGTCCTGTGTGTGTGTGAGGGAGGAGGTGGGGCAGACAGAGTAATGTGTCCTAATCCTGGGACCTGTGAAAATGTCACCTTCCACGGCAGAGGGGACCTTGTGGTGGGAGATTATCCCAGGTTTTCTGGTGTGTCACAGGGTCCTTACAGAAGGGAGGCAGGAAGGTCAAAGGCAGAAGTAGGGGGTGATGTGAGGAGGGGCCCTGAGCCACGGAATTGGGAGCCTCTAGAAGCTAAAAGAAGGGAGGAAATGGATTCTCCTGGAGCCTCCAGAAAAGAGCCCAGGCTGCCCACCCCGTGGCCTCCGCCTGTAAGACTCATTTTGGACTTCTGAGCTGCAGCACTGTTAGAATACACTCTTTTTTTTTTTTTTTAATATATTTTATTGATTTTTTACAGAGAGGAAGGGAGAGAGATAGAGAGTTAGAAACATCAATGAGAGAGAATCATCGATCAGCTGCCTCCTGCACATCTCCCACTGGGGATATGCCCGCAACCCAGGTACATGCCCTTGACCGGAATCGAACCTGGGACCTCTCAGTCCGCAGGCCGACGCTCCATCCACTGAGCCAAACCGGCTTCGGCTGTTAGAATACACTGTTAATATATTTTGTTTTCAGAGAGGGAGAAAGAGAGAGATACATCAATGATGAGAGAGCGTCATTGATTGGCTGCCTCCTGCATGCCCCCTACTGGGAATAGAACCTGCAACCCTGGCATGTGCCCTGACTGGGAATCGAACCGTAACCTCCTGGTTCATAGGTCGGTGCTTAACCACTGAGCCGCGCTGGCTGGGCCATTTGTGTGGTTTGAAGCCACTGAATTTGTGCTAATTTGTTGCAGTGCCAATAGGAAACATACAGGGTTATTTACCTTTTGGGCTTGATCAGAACTTTAGTGCCTCTCAGTAAGAAATTCCCCCAGACGAATTTCTTCCTGCGCTTTGGGACGCTGGGAGTAGAACCCAGAGCCCTGCTGGCCTTCGAGAATGAGCTCGGGATTAGCGAGAAGCTGCCAGTGCCTCCCTGTGTTTTCTGGCTCCTGGCGACTCTCTGCAGGTCCACACTGGGATTCCTTCCTGTTTAACCCTTTATCTGTCTCTTCCTCTCTGTTGCTATTCTTCAGGAAATCCGACAGCTGCAGCAGAAACAGGCGAGTTATATCAGGGAGATTTCTGATCTTCAGGAGACGATAGAGTGGAAAGACAAAAAGATAGGGGTAGGGCTCTCAAATCTTTGAAAATCTGTTCAGACAAGCTGTATGCTTGATAAGTTTGTTGCTTTTAGGATCATTGGTGTGCTTGGATGTGTATGCATGCAGCCCCACGTGATGCAAACTCAATCATGCAGCAAATACGAACTCGCTGGAAGTTGGCTTCCCACATGAACAGTCTCGCTTTCTCAGCATGAGCCGGCTCTGCCCGCCCCTCCAGCAGCCAGGGACTGACGGAGGGAGACACTCCATGAGGGGGCACTCGGGCACTCTCGTATGCGCATTTCCCCGCTCTTCTTGGGGCGTTTTCTCAAGGGGTCTGAGGAAGCTGTAAGGTGGCAAGTGCTTGAAATCTCCCCAGAGGGTCCTCAGACCCCCTCCCTCCCCAAGAACAGAACAGGCAGCCCACCTGCCTGCAGGTGTGACGAGGGGGACGGACAGGACCACTCACAGCACCTGCTGTGCTTCCTGGCAGTAGCTCCAGAATGTAGTGGCCCGTCGTACCACATAGGTCTGTGACGGTCCCCCAGCGCTCGAGCGAAGTCACCAGAGCATTGACAGTGTGACGCCACGCCTGTCTTCACTCTGATACGCTCGTCCACGCTTCCTCGGGGTTTTGTGCCCGTGCACGTGTGCACGCATGCATGTTGTGTTTGCTTCAGGACCACTTGTGTTTGTTTGTGCCAACAGTTGCTGAGAATCCAGGTAGAGAAATAGTCTCAATTGCTAAAATACAGGGCGTCCCCCAAAAATGTATACGCACTTTGAATGATTATAAAATAAGTGTTTTTCAACATACAGTACATTTTCAAAATTTAAAAGAATCTACAGAAATGAATAATATTTTTTGTCAACTCCTGTTTTCAAACTGATGACCGTTCTGGTCCAGGCACTGCTGATAAGGCAAAACAGTGGAATCACAAACATCCAGAATCATTTCGTTTGGTATTTGTGTGCCTTCAATTCGTCGACTGCTGCCAGTTATCATTAATGTATCCCCATTGAAAAAAAGTCTAGTGTCACTTTAGGACCAATTTTCTTTGTTCAAAGCTTAGTCTGGCTTTACCCATTGTTTCAAATCAATTAAACCTGAAAATTAAGTGTTGTCAGCTGTTAAAGTGTGTATATATTTGGGGGGACACCCGGTAGTTGTCACGGGATTCTGCAGCATTTCCTCCTCTTCTGTATTTACGCCTCATCTAAAGGCCACATGGCCTCTGATAGTTCTCTGACACGGCTGTGAAACCGGACTGAGCTAGAATGCGATGCAGATGCAGCCCTCCGGTGCCTCCGTGGGTGCCTTCGTTCAGGAGCATGGTCAGCAGCGTTGCTCGGCTGTCGTAAACTGGAGGAGAGTTTGTTACTGGCATTTTGTTTGTATCTCTGAGCGTGTGATATCTAACGCCCTGACTGTAGCGTTTTACAGAGTAGAAGCCTCTTCCTTACTCTGCTTCTGATGTCACCTGCTTACCTGTGTGAATTTCTCTCTCTGCTCCGCTGCACACTCAGGCCTTAGAGAGGCAGAAAGAGTTCTTTGATTCCATCAGGAGTGAACGAGATGATCTTAGAGAAGAAGTAGTCGTGCTGAAAGAGGAACTAAAGGTATGAAGCCCAAGAACAGCTAAAAGAGAAAGTCCCGGTTGCCACAGGGAATGCTGGGGTTCTCAGGAAGGAATGTGTGTGTTCTGTTAACCAATGCAAATCTGAGGTTAACTGACACCGAAGAGACGTGTAAAGCGAGTCCAGGTTCTGTGGGGTCTGCCCGTGGTCAGATGTTCACAAGCATATCTGAGCTCGAAAGCAACTCTGGTTTCCAAGAACTTTTTTATATACTGTGTCAGTACTTTCCATGCTCATTAAGTTCTCCTGGGCCCTCCCTGAAGTTAGAGGGTGCATTTGTTTGTTAAATCAAAGGCTCAACTGTAGGGACTTCTCTAGCTGAACGTAGTGGGGCTAGGCTCATGCCATTTACACTTTGAGGCCCACTGGATTGTAGGAAAGTCATGCTCTGTCTGGGCCGTGTCCAGGGGTCTTCAGCTGCTGGCCAGACACCGAAAAAAAACACCCAGCCTGCAGCAGTGGGGGTCAGAGCTCTGGGTGGGCTGTGAGCGGTGGAGGGGGCAGTGTTGAGGCAGGGCACGGCCATGGGCTAATTTTTGCATAGTCAACGGAGACATGTCAGTGTGGCTGCTATAGCCAAGGCTCAAGGCCACAGCAGTGAACCAGAAGGCGCAGGCTTGAGCTCAGGTTCGGCAGGTGGTTCCCCCAGGGCTGTGAGTGCAGGGTTGGGGATCCCTCCCAGGACACGAGGGAGCTGGGGCAGCAGATGGGGGTGCGGGGGGTGGGGGTGAGTCATCCATAGTTAAGGGAGATCCTGGAGTCATGAGGCACAATTGGCTTTAAAGTGTTTCACTATGGAGTGAGCGGAAGTTAAATTTATTTTAAATAATTGACTTTAAAGAGAGGGAGGGGGAAAGAGAGAGAGAGGGGAAAGCAAGAGAAAAACATTGATCGGTTGCCTCCTGCACCAACTCACAACAAACCTGCAACCTGGGCATGTGCCCTGACTGGGGATTGGACCCTGCACCGTGTGTGTGTGTGTGTGTGTGTGTGTGTGTGTGTGTGCGCGTGTGCGCGCGCGCGCGCATGCGCGTGCACTTGCTCAGGACAATACTCCAACCAACAGAGCCACACCGGCCACGGCAAGTTATAGTTCTTTTTAATATGCCAGACATCCTAGCCACTTCCTAATTCCTTCCTTAACTTAAATGTCATCACTCCTTCCAGACATGTACACATTTCTTTCTTTTTCTCTGTATCTCTTTGTAAAGAATCCATTCGGGGTTTTAAAAGTCAGGTTCACCTTACCATGACTTGCTCGAAGCTTCCTGTGGTGGCAGCCTGCAGGCGTCACCTCCAGTTTAAAAGGGCTCCCGCTGAAAGCGCCCTGTCACCACACATCAGGACATGGGTGGGGCCTGCGGAAGGACCAGCCCTTGCAGGAGAGCCTGGATCTGTGTGTTGATAGAAAGAATAGCCACGAGGGTGTTGCCCAGCTCTTCTTGACTCTGTAGAATTTTCCCCGACTTCAGGAAAAATAGCTTCTTCTGAAATTATTATTAATAGAGTTTAAGCTAACACCACTCAGTGAGTATTACGACGAGCCTGTTTTTGTTCCAGAAACATGGAATAATCCTAAATTCAGAAACAGCTACCAATGGAGAGACTTCAGACACCCTAAATAGTGTTGGATACCCAGGTCCTACCAAGATGACAAAAGAAGAGTTGAATGCCCTCAAGGCGACAGGGGACGGGACCCTAGGTAAGTCCTTGTTTTCCTGGCTCCTGTCACTCCAGACAGCATTGGCTCACCCTCACTGCGTTGTCAGGGTCGAAGCAGTCATCACTGCCCATTAACAGTCACACCGCATGCCACCTGTCTGTCTCGTCATGGAGTTCCTTGCGCACGATGTGATCACCCACGCGTGTTGTCTGGCGTGCACCTCTGACCAGTGCCCCCGTCCATGGCTGGGGATACATTTCTCTTGCTTCTCAGAGCTGCCACATGAGACTGTGAACGCAAGGAAAATAGTCTCAAAATCAAGTGACAGTTTTGATAGTGCTACTTGTCTTTCCTCGGACATGTGCCAAGGGTGGCTTTTTAACTTACTCTGTTACGGAGTTGCCCAAAGGTGGAAATGGCAGAGGCTGTAAATCAAGTTAGTCAACCATTTTTGCAAGTCAACACGGCACATCCTATGAGATGCTCTGAGGGGTTAAGGTGTCTGTGGACAGCAAGTGGAGGCTGTGACAGAGGTCTTGGTCATTCTCAGTGTAGCACTTGAGAGGGACAGACAGCCATGGTGGAGAGGGAGAGGGACAGGCACCCCTAATGGAGAGGGAGAGGGACAGGTGGCCCTGATGGAGAGGGAGAGGGACAGGCGTCCCTGGTGGAGGTGGGGACAGGGGTCCTGGTGGAGAGGGGGAGGGACAGGGGCCCTGGTGGCCAGTATGGTGTTCTTTACCAGTGAGAATTGGATATATCTGCCCCTTTGTCAGCGATGACGTTTCCATGTATGTCACATTTTTGCTTCTGAAAGAATGTAAGTTGGGATTCCAGTAGATTGTAGGAATATCTGAAAGGCGCACCGATTGATATTTGTAATAATAATTGGCCTGAGGATAACGCTTCAGAATCATGTGCAGCCTGAAGCTGCCACTGCATGTGGGGCCTCACTGGTCACCTGTGTGTCCCAGGTTTAGAGTGAGGCCAGAGTGGGGTCAGGCCGCGACTGTGGTTTCCATGTGGAACCTTTCATCTTACTCCTTTTTATTTGTGGAAATGCAGAAACCTCAGGGCTTGCTTCCCAGGGGTGCCTCACTCTCTTTATGACACTGAAGGAATACACAGCTCTTTTAATTCTGTAAAGGTCGCTGAAAGAACATAAATTGGTTATGTCCACCATACCTTTGTACTAGCTAGCTGAGCAGTTAGGAATTTGATCATGCTGCTCTTGTTCAAATACACATTTTACAAGTCCTGGATAATCATTGTGAAACAGACACTTAAGGAACCAGAAATACCAGTTTTATAAATGGTCTCCAAAAGTTCTTTAAACACTAACAGTAAAGAATTGTGGGCACTTCCCAATATATACGTCCATTTTTAACTTAAATACATATAAGCTTTCATTAATATAAATGTACATTATAAAACCAGCACTGATAGAAATCTTTAAAGGGTGAAGCAAAACTAACCATAAATGGAAGTCCTACTACTTTCCCCCTTTTCCCCGGGTCAGCGCACCCACCGTGGAGACCGCTGGGTCATGAAATTGTCAGGCTTTGACCTTCAGTGATTTGGTATCTTATATGCTGCGGTTCTGTTTGTCTGAAGAATCCGAAATATAACTTCATTCCGAAGCAGTGACATGTTTGTTAATGCATAATCTTTTAATTGATGAGTCATTTATTATTTAGCTAAGTGGTCATCCTAATGTAAGCGTTTACCTCCCGCTGGGACTCGCTGTTCCTTAAGGAATGGAGGGAAGGTCTTTGGGGCACAGGCCACTTTCTCGGGAGACAGTGGTTAGGTGGAGGAGAGTGGATTTCTTTTTACCTTGTTTGAGCTATTGGAAAAGAATCTTCCTCAAGACTCACCTCGAGGCTGAGTGTTTAAGACAAACTGAATGTTCCTTTTAAAACTGATTGGAGGTTGCCTTTAGGGCCGTGGGATCTGCAGTGCAATTTGAGAGCTGACAACGTGTGAGTTGTCAGACGTGCATTTGGGAATGAGCATGGGGAACACCCGCCTGAAGGCCTTAAAACCCATCATTTTGGATTGTTCGGCTGCCTGATCCAGAGCTCTTTCTAGTTGTTAAAACTTAACTTCACCTTTGAAAATCAGCTCACACAAGAGGGCACCAGCAGCCACTCGCCGTGAGGCGGTGGCAGGCCTTGGCCGGTGGCTGTGGGCGGGTGCGGTGGCTGCTTCGTGGCACAGAGCTGGCGGGCTTCCGTTCCGGGTGCCTCTGTGCTGACTCTCTCGAGGAGTGGGGCTGGGTGGGGATGAGACTTGTGTTTACCTTGTCATGTATTGTAAGTGGTCACATCATGGGGTCCCTTCAATTTTCTCAATGGTCTTTTAGGAAAAGCCACTGCAGTGGAGGTGAAAAATGAAATTGTGGAGAATGTGGGGAAAAGAGAAATCTTGCAAAATACTGAGCAGGAACAGCACAAAGAGGACCCCGTAGAGGATTGTGTGGACACTGAGGTCTTGCCTCCTGGTGGCAGTGCGGAGGACCGGAAAACCTCTGAAGACAGTGCCCCTTCCCTAGGAACATTAGCTACAAATGAGGGGCAGGTCCGAAGCCCAGTTCTAGAGAGCACGTCCTTCCTTGAACATGCAGAGCAGGTTGAGTCCAGGGAGCTCACAAGCACCCCAGATGCTAGGACTGGGGCTCCCCTTGAGCAGGCTAAGAGTTCAAGTGAACCAGCTGGTGAAACCCCGGGTCCTGCGACTGGGCAGGGCAGCCGGAATGCCGTGGATGTCAAAAACCACAGCGAAGAAGCTGCAGAAAAACAGGAACAAGAAGAGCAAGATGTTCAAACCAGTTTGGGAGAGGTTAGCACAAAACCACATCAGGAATCTGCTCCTGTGCAAATACCTGAAGTTGAAAAGGTGAGCAGCTCCCAGGGTGCGGTGGAGGCAGGGCTAGCTGGATTGGAGGAGCAAGCGGGCACAGTGGCCTCACGTCCTCCCAGGTATAGCGATGGCACAGGGAGTCATGACACATGTGCAGTAGACATCCCCACAGAGTTGGGCCCAGGTTTAGAGAAAGAGCTCACCAACCAGGAAGGGGCTGAACCCAAGGAGGTCCCAGTTCCGAGCACAGGAGCAGAGGGGGAGCACAGTGAGGAAGAGGACGAGGGGAGGGGGCTCCTGAGTGAGAAACCAGTCCAGACAGTAGTCCCGGCCGGTCCCTCTTCTCCAGCCGCCCGTGCTCAGGAGGCAGCAGGTGCACGTATGGTAAAGGCCAAGAGAGACCCCAGTGAAGAAAAGAATGACCCACAGGGAGAGGGATTGGGTTCATCCCAAAAGAAGACAAAAAACAAGAAAAAGAAAAACAAGAAGAAAAAGTCACCGGCACCTGTAGAAACCCCTAAGGATGTTAAGAAAGAGTTAACATTTCAGGACCCAGATCTCAGTGAAGCTGAGGAAGAAAAGCAGGTAAAATCTCCTGATGAAAAATCAGGTGTGGAAACACAAAATGAGGTCACTGGAAATCCAAAACAGAGCATTGTGGCCGGGAGCAGTGACAACCTGGGCTTTCCAGAGGACCCTCAGATGGACTTGGCTGGAAAACTGAACCACGAAGATGGCGATGGAAAGGCCGAGGCGGGGAAAGGAAGAGCTGATGGAGAACTGTTTGAAGGTGATACCATGCAGGCCTCAGGCTCCAGAGCCTGTGCTGAGGGATCAGAGGAAGGAGCTGTAAAAGCCGACGCTGAAGGAGCCAGTGCTGCTCCCAGCCGCCCCCCAGAGAATGAAGACTTGCCAAGCAGCGCCCGGCTCGGAAATGGAAGTCCCTCCGAGGACAGTAACGCCGCCTCGCAAACAGAAGGTACAGAGGGCTGTGTGATGTCCGAGGGGCCGAGCCAGGGAGTCAGAAAGGTTTTAGGTAGCGCTAGTCTAGAAAACGATGACTTGGCACCAGCAAGGGAGTCAGGGGACTCCCATTCAGAGCACAAAGAAGAGACAAGGGGCGGAAGCGAGAAGGACAAAAGCAAAGAAGACTGCGCATTGTCATAGGTTGAGGCTTGCTTGTCGGGCGGAGTCAGAGATGGTCCGGGACGGCACTGTGAGTCCAAGCAACAGACTCTTGCCGTTTCCTCCGCTGGTGAGATCCATGAAATGTTCTAGATGGAGGTAGACATGTGTGACAATCTGCCACCACGTTATCTACTACTCTAAGTTATAGACTGTTACTTGTAGATTTATATTTTATTAGGGTTCTCACCCAGATTAGAAAGACAGACACATTTGTTATCATGTAAGTTTTAACTGAGAGCATTCCAGTAGTATCAAATGATAACATACACTGTTTATATTTCTGCTTATAATCAAAATAAACATAGTTCACGCCTGCCTTAGGCTGATATGAATGTGGATATTCCTGACCAAATATATCAGCATCTAATTGAAATGACCAGATAGCATTCTAGGATTCCTACATCATGAGTAAATTAATTTGTCTTATTCAAATATATGTGCTTTCATATGTGCTTTTGATACGTACACGATAACCTGCATGGTATTTTATTTAAAAAGGAGATAAATGGCCAAACATCATGTAGGTCCCTGAGTGATAAGATTTGCACCTTAGGACAATAGCTCATCATTTTAGGGATAATGAACATCTTAAAGTCCTGGGAGCTCTTACTTGCCTTTACCTCATATAAGGATTTTATCTCAGCTAATGCTTTGGACTTCATTGTTCATGATACCTGAGTTTATTTTATAGATTTTTTCTCTTTTTCTTTTTTAAAAAAATTAATAAATTTTAATTAAAGAAATTAAGTGGGAGGGAGGGATGGAAGGGGGGAGAGAGAAACATCAATGTGAAAAAGACACATTGGCCCTGACCGGTTTGGCTCAGCGGATAGAGCGTCGGCCTGCGGACTAAAGGGTCCCAGGTTCGATTCCGGTCAAGGGCATGTACCTTGGTTGCGTGCACATCCCCAGTGGGGAGTGTGCAGGAGGCAGCTGATCGATGTTTCTCTCTCATCGATGTTTCTAGCTCTCTGTCCCTCTCCCTTCCTCTCTGTAAGAAATCAATAAAATATATTTTTAAAAAAAGAAAAAGACACATTGATTGGTTGCCTCCCGCACACACCCCGACTGGGGTTGGGGGATCAAACTTGCAACCCAGGTACGTGCCCTTGACCAGTAATCGAACCTGCACCCTTTGGTGCGATGGCTGACATTCTAACCACTAGCAACACTGGCCAGGGCTTATTTTATAGATTTTGACTTCATTTCATGCCAATTATGTATCCAAGTCACTTTACACACAGATTTTAAAAATTATTTTCTGGAAGAGACGTATGTTGAAATTGCATTTTCTATACAATATTAGGGTGGGGAGAATCATTTCTAAAATTTATTTTTTAACCTTAAAGTTACTTCTCTTTCTGTTTGTCTAATCATTATTCAGAAGACGAATAGAAAACAGTACTGTTCTTCAGCAAACTGCTAATTAGACTACGACAGGATATTTTCAATAGCTGAATCACTTTTGGTATTTTGGTATAAATGTTTGCATTTGTTGTGTCTCCATATAGTCTTATTGGAAAATTCTTGTTCTGGTTTTCCTGAACAAAATATATATTTTCTATATAAAAGAGAATTTTAAAAAATAATTGTAACATTAAATTGAAAAATAATTGTAAAATATTAAAATCACAAGGGAATGAACATTATGAATACTGTTAACACTTTATGAGAGTATATTACTTCATCGTACTGTTACAGGATATAATTGAATGTAAAAAAAGACCAAAGCTTCAATAAAATTTGAGGCAAACTTGTTATCATGTATTTGAAATAAAGACATTTTTCTAGTTTTACAAGCCTGTGGTTCCACTCTTTTGGCTCCTTGGAGTCTGACCTTGGCTGCTATTGTACCTAATTCACCTGTGAGGTTGTGCCCATTTCCAAGTTACTGATTCCCTGTCGGGGTCCCGGGAGGGACTCCCGCTGAGCACCCTTTGTCAGTAAGGACTGAACTTCTCTCCCGGCATCTAGACGGGCTGAAGTTGCGTCATCTGGGGAGGACCGCGGAGATCTTCCCCCGCAGCCTCGCCTGGGAGCTGTGGCTCTGAGGAGAAAGATCTCCATTCCATGGGCCAGGACTTAGCGCGCTTTGAAGAGTGTGGTGAGAACGGCAGGTAAACGCTGACTTTCTACATAAGGGTCTTGAGTGGAGGGTGATGGGGCTGCCAGAAGCCCACGGGTGCCTGTGAACAGAAAAGCCTGAGGCTTGCTGGAGAATCAAGTCCAAGAGTGGCAGAGGAGTTGAGAGGGCTTCAGCTGATGTCTCTAACTTCGGCAAAGCTGCTTTCACACCGGAGTGCACACTGGGAAACAGCTTTGCTTTCCAAGGCCTCTGGGGCCTAACTCACTAAGTGTGAGATCATTAAGCCACCTTACGTTCTTTCCTCCCTTACCCAGGTTATTCCGCAGCACACCTGCGGACACTATGGTAAACACATCCCTCCAGCCAGCCAGCAGTCTCCCTTAGTCACATGCTTCATAAGCAAACATTGTTCATCACTTCACATAGGAAAGGCCCTGTGCAGTGAACAAGCAGATAGGGCCCAGCTCCCAGTGGCAGCTGAGAATTAGGACAGAAGCACCAAAGAAGAGAAGGACTCTGAAGATCCCGACCATTTCCTGGTCATCTGAGTCCTCACTGTGAGCATCATTCCTCTGCTCCAAGTATGAGATGACGGTGTAGCCCAGCACATTAACTGATGCTCACAGTGGAGGCCCTTACATGATCCAGGAAGGGTTACCTTAGGTCTGTGAGGTTTAGCAAGGCACGGGGTATTCCCAGCAACCTGGAAACATTTCAGTGTTGAAAGATTCAGACTCGGAAAATCATCCAAGCACATCCTGCCAAGCACATCCCCAGGGGAACCTAGACCACAGAGGTTCCACCATAAGACAGAGCAGAGGAGCACATTGATCACAATAGCTCACATAGAAAAGCTGGGATATTTCTCGTCCCCGAAGCAGAATGCAGCTACTGTATGTAGAATGTGAATCTTCCTTCAGAAGTATAATTAAGTATCACTATGGGTGCATGTAAAGAAAAGATTTGAATTATAGGTTGCAATTTTATAATATATGAAGGTTGGGACGTAGTAAAGGTTGTGAGAGGTTTTAGGAATGAGATGGATTGCACTGACTGCTTTCTATAAAGTTAGTATTTCCAGTTAATGACCTGATCATATACATTCCCACTGTCACAGGACCTGGAATGCTCTTTCTCGGGGGTTAGATAGTTTGGGATTTCTGTTTTCTGTCAGTAGACTCCTGCCCCAGGAGAGCACCTTACCTAGCATGCCACCGTGAACGCCACAGTAAGATGTACTCCACGCATCCAGACTCCAGAAGGAAAAAAGCGGGGTGTGTGTGTGTGTGTGTGTGTGTTCATGTGTGCTTGTTCAGTGTGATGATCATACATAGGGAAAACTTTGTCTTTCAGGAGAAAAACCCTCTCTTACCCTTTCACCCTGTCCACTGTCCTTCTTACATCAAAGACTTAACATTTTTCCAGATGTGAATGGCTTCTGCTGTTCAATGGAACAGAAGCCAGTGGGGCTGATGTGGACAGTTCCCATCTGTGCGGACCTCCTGGGCCCTGTAAACAGGAGAAAAAAGAATCGTCCTTAGCAACCTGTTTGCCTTTGACAGTAAGGAGGAGGTATTGTCCTGGCCTGGGGGCCTGGCCCAGGGAGGACGAAACAGACCCTGTGAAACTGACGTGTGAGGAGGGAGTGGCACGTAGTGGTTTCTTGAGAGACCTCAGTCACAGCGCCAGAAAGAGGGACTACTTGGTGATATGGCTGCGACTCGTTGTGGACCTTGCTGTACCCCCGGCGAGTGAGGTGACAATGTGAGGCCACAGGAACAAGTGACCAGAAGGGCTCGGAGAATCCAAGGCTCGTCCGGCTGCCCAGGGACTGGCTCTAGGCCTTAATTAGCTTTTTTGTTTCTCAAATGCACACCAGAAAAGGTGTTGGAATTTAGTATAAAAAGCAGATTTTTTAAAAGTGTAATCCTTACCAGTATTACTAAAATACCTTTAATGGCCACCCATTTTAACTTCCCACTATGAAAGAAAGCCCTACATTTGAGTCTTTGTGACTTCAAGTTCTTTATGCCTTGTTTCTGAAAACTGCAAGTCCAAAGTCTGTAAATGGATTTGTTTGAAAATCGGGTGTTAGAGAGCAATGGTGAGCAGTGCTACTAGGGTAGTAATAGGTTTGCAATGTTCTTGTTAAGAATTACAATAAGTATACCAGTGATGTAACACCATTCACTCAACAATTTAGACTGTTGGTTTTTAAAGCTATTTTTAAAAGTACTCATTTACTTCATATTAAATAATTTTGCTTTTTTCTTGTTTCCATTATCTTAAAACTATTTCGTTTCCATCTTAATTCTGCTTTAAAATTTCTCTTTCTTAAAAATTCCACATCTATTTTTCCTATTCTCATTATGAGACTTAAGGTTAGAGGATCCTTATTTTTTCCCCTAAGACTATTATTACAATTTATCGTTTGTTTTTTACTTGCTATCTAAGGTATTTGAAGTCTCCCAATAGAAAAATAATAAAATTGTATAATATATGAGCTTCAAGTCCACTTTCTGATATATTCAGAGTTTCTTATGATGTCTGGGATTTTGTACATAGGAATATAAAATAGATAAGATAAAATGAAAAGTGGTATTGAATAAGAGATCTGGGTTTATAACTATAAAATTTTTTTCAGTGTTGGGTGGGTTTATAGAAGGAAAGAATGGATCCTCCCTCAGAAGCAGTTTGACTGTGGGTAAATCAAAACGGAGTTCAAAAGGATCATGAAATTATCTTGTGCTCCACATTTTCTGGAGTTGTTTATTTTGTTACTGTGCCTTCCAAAATAACAACCTGGGGTGTTTGGGGAAACAATTGGAGGGAGCATGTAACTTGGGTTAGAGTGTGGCTACATGACTTTTTAAAAGAGGACAAAGGTGCATTTTATGTGAATTGTTTCCATTTCACGTGGCTGATCAAAAGCAGGCAATGTGAGAACGCTGGTCCCTCGGGTACAGGACCCTCCGACCGGGAGTCCGGGCCCAGCTCTGAGGTCTGAGTTTAGGTTTAGAAAAGCAGCGCAGTGACGCAGTTAGGGGCGAGGCCCTGAGGCTGGGCAGTGAGGCCTCGGAAAGTTGCTTAGTTGTTCTGGGCCTTGGGTCTTAGGACGGATTAACAGAGCCACCCGCAGGGCTCCACGAGAGAGAGAGGCTGGTGGCCGTGCCTGGCGCAGAGTGGGCGCAGGACACACGAGCATCGCTCTCATCACGTCACACCCGGTTCTCCGTGTGTAGGATTTGGCCCAAACACCCACACTCCTTGCAGGCTGTGGTTCCCCCCTGCACTGAACACTGCATTCAGGGAGATGTTTAGGGAGATTTCTGGGTGCTTATATATATATGCATCCTGATATATCTGGGGTGGGAGGAAGGACAGAACCTAATTATTCCTGCATTCTTCCTCAAAAGAATAAAAGTGTTTGACAAGTGGGTTGGCACATATGTAGTCAGGAAACTATGATTCGTAGTCACAGTCAGAACTCCAGCCTGGGTGAGCCCATGAGAGAAATACCTCTGGGGGTACACTCAGGAGGTGCGGGCTGATGAAAATGCCGGTGATGTGTCGTGGCGATGCCCAGTGTGTTTGTACCTTGCTAATGATGTTAAACCATGAAGCCTGTGAGATCTTGTGTTGCAGTGTGGTTTGGCCCTAGAGCCCTTGCATGCTAACCCCAAGTAGAAGATTAGCCCGTTTGCATGCGGTCGGACGCTGACGAGACAAGCATGTGCTGGGAGGTTGACCACCTCAACCCCCCGAGGCTGAACTCCTCCCCCGTCCTGTGTGTGGCCTCATTCGCGTGGTACGTGTTTAATACCCTCATCATCAGTTTCACTAACCTGAGTGCTCATTCTCCCGTGTAGCTGACGGTGCGGTGCACAGAGACCCCTAAACCTGTGTCTTTCTGATTTCTTCAGACATTAGGTTGAGAAAGCTTGTTGACGAACGGGAGTGCTTGCTGGAACAGGTAACAACCTTTTACTGCTTTACGAGTTGTCGAGTGGGGCGCCTGAAGCCAGGAACCTTCCCATCCTTCCTGCTTGCTTTGTCCGGACCCCTAACGCACCACGCTTGAAAATAACCATCAAGCCAGCTCGGGCTCTTGAAATTCGTATCCGTCTGAAGTCAAAGGAGAGGTTTGGAGAGGAGGTCTCAGAGAGCCACGGCCACGTGCTGGGTGGGGAGGCAGCACGCAGATTGCTGCCTAACATGACTCGCCTGGTGGGGACTCAGTTTCAGCACCTCTGTGCCTAGGAGGCCCAGGTGGCCCTTCCTGGCTCCTTAGTGCAGTGGTCGGCAAACTGCGGCTCGCGAGCCACATGCAGCTCTTTGGCCCCTTGAGTGTGGCTCTTCCACAAAATCCCACGTGCGGGCGCGCACGTACAGTGCGATTGAAACTTCGTGGCCCATGCGCAGAAGTCGGTATTTTGTGGAAGAGCCACACTCAAGGGGCCAGAGAGCCGCATGTGACTTGCAAGCCGCAGTTTGCCGACCACTGCCTTAGAGAATCAAGCAGAGGTTAATAGCACCCTGAATTGCTAATACTCAGACAAACATTTAAACGATTTTATGTATGCTCTCCTCCTGAATTCAAGAGGAACGGCAGCCTTCGAATAACTTGTCACCAAGTTACAAAATGGTCTATGCCTGAAATTGTAAATATAATGGCATTTTCATTCATTGTACTTAGTTTCTGAGAAGAGTACTAACTGGCAGAAGGTAGTTTATTTGTTCATTTGTGTTAGTTCCTTCATTAAAGGAGACGCTCCCTTTCTCCTCATGGATTGTAACCTTTTTCTGCATTTCTCTGGGGCTTATTTATGTAACCTCTGTCTCATTGGCATCCATGTGAAATAGTTGCAAGGCAACATCCAGTTCTACCTATGGGTGTTTTCCTTTACCTGCTGTTTCCTTTGACAGGCTCTAGGCTCAACTTCTCTGTCTGTTTGGAATAGAGGAATTAACATCCTTTCTCGGTGGGTGTTTCAGATTAAGAAACTCAAAGGGCAGCTGGCAGAAAGACAGAAGAATGGCAAGCTAGACACGCTGCGCCCTGAGGACGCTGTCTTAGAGAACGGGACAGACGTGCACGTGATGGACCTGCAAAGTAAATGTCGACCCTTGTGCGGGAGCAACCGCTCTGACGTGTGGGATGTTGGCGTGCTTGTTTGGGAGGGGAGAAATGCCATGGCGAGGGAAGCCCAGTTTCCCCCCCGCCCCCCTCCAGAAGCCCTGATTACATTTCTCAGTAAGACAGAACAGGACGGGCAGGTGGGCAAGGCATGGATGTTTCTGTGTGAGCCTAAGAAGCAGAACAGGTGCCCCAAATCGTGCACGGCGAGGCCACCATAGGATGTGCTGCAGGAAATCACTTACTGTGCTGGATACGGCTGCCTTTTGGCCTGCTGATTGCATGGAAAGTTAGAAGGTGTTTTTTTTCTATGCCAGTAAACTAGGAAGGGGCTTAAGGAGATACAATTAGGCCCAGTCTCCCCCGCCCCGCGCCCCCCCCACCACCACCACCACCACCACTTCTTTACTCACAGGCGCACTCTCTCCTGGGCACTTTCCCAGCCTGGGTCCATAGAGAGAGCACCCTCCTATCTCAGCTCAGGAGGGCTGGGGGGGCCACGGGCCAGGACTTAACACATTTACAAGGCGATCAGGAAGTAAGGGCTTGGTTCCCAGTAACTATTGTTTCGACATTTTAAAAGCCCAAGAGCTTAACAAATTTTCCTTCTTTTTCAACCTTTAGGGGATGCCAACAGACAGATCAGCGACCTCAAATTTAAACTTGCAAAATCTGAGCAAGAGATAACTGCGCTAGAACAAAATGTACGTGCACGCTCCAGCAGTAACGGGCACCTACACCGATGTGTGCGCGACCTCGCCCCCGAAAGGCTGAGGACAAAAAGAAGCCGACATTTTTAGAACCAAAAGTCAAGGTCCTCAATGTGTTTCCAACACAGAGAGAACTTAGGGAAAGAAAGGGCGTTGTTGGGATTTGAGTTGTGTAACCGATACTGACCCTTTGTAAAAGATGGGTTAGCTGTAGGATGTAACTAATGTGGCCACGGAGGGTTGTTGTTTCTTTCTTTTTTCTTTAAAAATAATTTCTAAAATAATAATTTAATTTTTTAAAAAAAATGCTTCCTTCAGGGACGCCCTCTCGCCTGGCTCCTTTCCTCTCTCCCAGCCGGGCCGGCTCTCTCTGGTCCCTCGTGAGCACTCATGCGTCTCGCATGCTGGGCAGTTGGAGCCAGCTGTGTCCTAACCAAGGGAGAGGTAGCAGCAGGCACTCTTCCCCGCTCCACTGTGTACACGTGGGTGGAACCTTCTGGAGTTTTTATAGGGACAGAGTGAGGAGAGCACATGGAAAGTGATGAGTTTTATGAAACTTGCTTTGATCTCAGCAGAATGGAAGCCTCCGGCAGAGGGTGCAATGCCACCCGAACCCTCCTTATCTCACTCCTGTCTCAGCTCTTGCCTTTCCTCCTCCCTCTCCTGCCTCCTCACCCCACTCTGGGAGAGATCAGACTGGAGCAGAGGGCCTGGTGGAGTCTTTGCTTCCCAGCTCTGTTCTGCTTGGACCGGCCCGTTTTCCTGCAGATTCGTCCTGTAAAAGGGAACGATGGTGGCAGGGTATCAGCTCTTATGGGAGCCACGCTGTTGGACTAGGGCCAGAGAAGAAATGAGTCCCTGATAGGGTCAGTCCTGGGTTGCTCAAAAATAAAGAACAAATAGCTTGCTTGACTAGAACCTATTTAATAGTCAAGAAGGCTTGGTCGTAATTCTTTGGATGGTGTACTTTCCCATTTTATTAAATTATATCCTTTGATCTCAAATGTAATAAAGCAATTGGAGGAAGAAAACAGGCCAATCCATTTTTGCAGCTGGTTTTTCCTTCCTCTTAGGTAATAAGGTTAGAGAGTCAAGTATCACGTTATAAATCAGCTGCTGAAAATGCAGAAAAAATAGAAGATGAACTGAAGGCTGAAAAACGGAAACTCCAAAGAGAGGTAACGGCACTGGGCTGTTTCTAAGAAAACAAGGGGTAGCAATATTCTAGTTGGGCGAGCAGAGAGAGGACTTATGTGGGGGGATCAGCCACCGTCTCATCATGAGATCGAAGCTCAGTCTGATTTCCTACAGTTTCACTCTAATGTGGTATGTGTGAGTTGTTATTCTGCTTGGAATGTGCGCATTTCTTGGCTCTGTTAAGTCTTTTCTCTCAATTTTGGAAATTTTTTTAACCATAATCTCCTTATGTCATTCCCGATCCCTGTTCTCTCCACTTTCCCTCTGGGAGTCCAGTAAGAGATCAGACCTTTTCATTGCAACCTCCCATGTACCCACTAAAGGCTGCCTCGTCTCCTTACCTGTCTCTCTGTTGCCTGCGGTATAGTTTTGGCAGGGATCTCCCAGTTCACCTCCCTTTGTTTTTCTGGTGTGTTCATTCCTGACACTTCCTGGTTGTGTGGTCATGCATGCTCTCTTTCCTAATTGTGTCCTTATTCTTTAAAGATTCCGTGCACAGCTGTGCTGTTTTGCACACCTGGCGACTGAAACCTGTTCAGTCTTTAGGAGTCTGATTCTGTGCTTTTTTTGCTTCTGCTGACTCCAGTGGTTTGTCCCTTCATGTGTTTGGTATTTGGTGAGGTTCACTGGATTTTAATTTGCAGGAACACTCCAGGCCTGACGTGGAATTTCCTGCAAAGAGGGCTTGCAAGGCATGGGGTTTAACCTGTCCCACGACCCGAGCCCCCATCTTTGAGGGTTTGGGATCGGAAGCAGATTGTTCCAGGCTCTGTGGCCCCCGCTCCCGGGCGTCACTCACTTGGCCTTGCGCATTCCTGCTTTGGTTTCTGCCTGCAGAAGCCTTGCCCCTGGCTGCCCAGGGCTGCGGAGACCACCTCCTCCAGCGGGCCTGGGTCAGCTCCTGTTTGCCTTTTGTGACACCATGATCCCCAAGCATGTTCCATGTCTGGGGTCTAGTTGTTTCAGAGGAGGAAGTTGCTCATGAGGCCAGGATCCTGAGCCTATTTAAATTTAAAAACGTGCATTCACACGTGCATGTGAGTATGGATGTGGGGATCGCAGTGGGTCCAGGTTAAACTGTGTTTCCGGTAGGACGGCGGTCTTGGTAATCCTGTTATGTTTGGAGGAAGCCAGATCCTCAAAGCTGCCTCTCCTCCTTGTTCCCAGCTCCGCTCCGCACTGGACAAAACCGAAGAGCTGGAGGTGAGCAACGGCCACTTAGTGAAGCGTCTGGAAAAAATGAAAGCGAACAGGAGCGCGCTCTTATCCCAGCAGTAAGCGCCAGCCCCGCACGGGAGCCTGGCTGGACATGGAGAGCCTTGGTACACAAGCTTTTTCTCCGTTCCTGTCTGGGAGCTGCTGTTTTTCCTGCTTCTGAGAGGACACCCGAGGACTCAGCCGCAGGAGCCCCAGCAGCCTCGATGCCTCCGTCCGCAGACCCGCAGATCCCTACCCAGCTGGGCGCCACCCACAACCTGCAGGTCGTTTGATAAGCACACTGGGCCCGTGGGGGTCAGTACCCGACAGCCCGGCAGCCTCTTCATGCCATTTAAAATGGTCATCTGAGTAAAGATTAAAGTGGGACTTGAGTTTTCTTTTCATGTGTCTTGCTGAAAATAAGGGGAAATGTTACGGTTGGGACTTCCTTTCATGGCAGAATCTGCGATTGGAGCGGTTTCAGTAGTATCTCTTAGTCTACGCTTTTCACACACGAACACTGTGGAACCACAAGCCATTACCAAGCGAAACTCTTTCACTAGAAACAAGGGAGTGGTCTAGACGTAAAAGTGACCTTAAGAAGACTCTTTACAGGCAACAAATGAAGCTTTTCTAAGGGATTTTTGCATCCGTTCAATCATAAGAGTACTTTTTTCCAGGGAATTCGGCAATAGCTTACTGAAAATTATAGCTTTTCATTTGCATTATTTAATCCTTCTATTTGGAATTGAAGTTGTTAACTTCTTTTAAAGAATGTACTATTAGAAAAATTAAAAAATGAAAGGTTGAAAGACTTTAGATTGTGGCATTTTTTTTCCCATTGAGAAAGATACTTAACTATTTTATATTAATTGTTCTGTATGTTTGAGCTCATCCTTTTTATTTTTTAAACATACCAATTCATTTTTCTTTCCCTTTTTTTTTTTTTAAAGTATATTCACAGTGAATAAGAATAGTGGGGGTGGGGGTGGACTCCTGCAAGAATGTCAACACTGAAATTTTTTTAAATAAAAATTAAAAAAAGAGAATAGTGCACCTATAAGAATCAGTGTTCTTAGGATAACAAGTAAACTGAAGAAGTCATAGATCAGAGTGGAGATAACTATGATATCTTCAGGGATGAAAGTAGAGAAAGTTTGGCTACTTGTTGATTTTTAGTGACTCTTTGTATATGTTGTTTTCAAACAAAGCTGGTTAAGTAGGACAGTTTGTCAGAATATTAGCAAGTGCAAACCAAGAAAGACATACCATCCAGCTGTATGTAGTGTTGGCACTTGGAGAACTCTGTGGTAGGGGGACATGAACTGGGTGTATAAAGTTGAGGATACGCTCACAACGTAGTGCTAGAGCTCACCTGGGTGCATCCCCAGCACCCACCGTGTGGATCCGGGACACAGGCTGCTTACAGCTAGGTGGGAGAGAAGTTGTGTCTCCTTGTGCTAAGGACACTGTACAGTTCAGATCTCCTCCTTCTCTGTATTCTATAGATAAAATCATCCCATCACCAATACACATCCGTGCCCACAGACCCACTATAGCTGCTACATAGTCAAAACCAATGCTTTTACCCAGAAGCCTACTCTTCACTGCTAACATGAAAACCGCAACTCTCCACAACAGTGTTGTTTTATATTTACCTATGATTTGTTAGAGCAGATCTTACAATGATTGGCTTCAAAAGATTTCTAAGTTTGGCCCTAGCCAATTTGACTCAGTGATTAGAGCATCTGCCCTCAGATGAAGGGTCACAGGTTGGATTTCGGTCAAGGGCAGGTTCGAGGCAACCAATCTTCAATGTCTCTCTTTCACATCGATGTTTCTCTCT